ATTCATTCCCATTTTGAAGATGGTGGATACCAGATTTAGATCCCTTACCTTTGGTTTTTTTCAATCATGTTCCATACCTTGGATATCGGCGTACGCGAATTTAGTTTCGAAACGTAAGCTTGTCAAGACATGCATTTATTTTATTTAAATGTACGTCGTGTTTTGGCATTTATGATTTTGAATTTATTTAAATCATGAACCATAGGATGACGACGGAAATAATTCTCAGCCTTCTTCCGCGCCTTCCTAGCCTGTTTGAAAGTATCATTAAACCATGGTTTACGGATGTGTGGATTTGTAGAGGACTTACATACATTCATCAGCTGTGTTATGATGTGCATCAGAGAAACATTTTATAGTGTTAGGAACATCAAGAAACAATTCAGGTTTAAGTTGGTTGCACAAATAGTTTCATACAAAGGCCAGTTAGCCTGATGGAAATTCCATCGTGATGATGGAGAAACGTCAGATGGGGTCACAGTCTTTAATATGGTAGTGAAATGGTCACTTCCACAGAGGTCGTTGTGGACTGACAACTCATCAAACAAATCTGAATCAGAAATTGACAAATCAATGGATGAGTATGTCCCAGTATCAGGATGAAGATATGTTTTGGAATTATTGTTAAAAATACATAAATAATTATTTGACATAAAATCTTCAAGCAGCTTTCCTTTAGTGTTGGTATGCGCACTGCCCCAAAAGGGATTATGCCCATTTAAGTCACCCATAATGACGCAGGGCTTTGGAAGTTGGTCATTGAGGGCTTGGAGATCGGTTTGCTGAAGAGAAGATGACGGAGGAACATGAAGAGAGCACAAAGTGAAGACAATGTGCAGAGTCACACGAACCGCAGTAGCTTGAAGAGGGGTATTAAGAGTAACTGGGCTGTAGAGAACATGCTGCTTTACCTACAATGAAGAACCTCCAGTAGCCTTTGCTCCCGGGGATGAAAAGAAATTGTAGGAAGTGTAACATCTGATGTCAATCTTATCGGTAGTTTTCAAACACGTTTCCTGAATACATAATGCTGATGGCTTCAAATCTTGTAGTAATAATTGAATATCATTATAATTGTTCCGTAGTCCTCTGCAATTCCATTGAATTATTTCACTTGAGCTGCTCATGGGGATCTTGAGCGAGAGGAATGTCCACTCCCATTGACAGGCTTTGTGGGAGTGACATCCATCTCCAGAGGTGCATAGGGGTTTTGAACCTCAACAGACGTTGTAATAGAAGGTATCTTCATGTGCTTGAGTGCCCTGGTTCTACGAAGTTTCTTATTTTCGCTTTTGGTTAAGTGAGCTCCACTGGTTGACTGTCGGATATTGTTTCTGGTATTGTCTGAGGGGAAGTTGTGGCAATCACTGGATCACTATTGGAGTTTTGAATCAAAGCGTCAAGGATAACCGTCCAGAAGGTTTAGGAACTGGAGTTGGGGAAGAAATTGCTGCTGTTGCTATTCTCTATTTATCATTATATATTGTATCTTCACTACATGGCTTCGATATTCCTGAGTCGATGTAAAGAAATTACTCACTCGTTTGTGTGAGTAATTTTATGTCATGTGCCTCACCTAATCAAAAAGTTGATGAAAAAACAAACAGTAGCCCCGAAATGTTGCATATTTATAATAATGAAGACATTTTGTCGTTATGACTAATACTGCCTTAATAATTAAACGCTACCTGTAGTCTATGGCATTCGCGAATGACGACCTCATTTGGACACCTGACACTTTGTCACTTGGCTAGTTGCCGGTTCTCGTGCCAATGGTTTAAGTTCCTTGATCACCTGGTCCTGATTCGATTACGGTCGTGATAGGCGTATATATTTGCGAAATTTGCCGAACAATAATGTTCATTCACTCGAGCACATTGTAGTCACTGTCCTGGGTGGAAGATAAAATGAGGACGAGATGTTTTGGACAAATGGTTAAAGAGACAGACAACAGAGCTGAAAAAACCCAGAATTTTCTGTTTGACTAAAGGGAATATCGGACGTAAGTGGGCGCATGCATACATACCGCATAGCTATTGGAAGTGTGCGCATGCATATATACCTCACAGCCATTGGTACTATCTCCAGTGAGACAATCTCATATTAATTGAATGTACCCAATCACCTATTACACATCAACAGCATTCAATTGTTGTTACTCTAATGGTGGTCATACATGATCGTGAGAACAGACGACCTTCTTCTTGAAGATCTCCTATTTTATGTGTGCTATATGAAACCTGGGCCAATGACAATGATGTGGACCAATTTTGAACAACCAATTACTTGATTATTTATATGATATATCATATATATATCGATAATCACTTTTCGTTTCATTTTTGCAGAGTAAATTATTTGAGGTTGTTACTTACAGGAAACAGATTCAAATGGACTCGTTCGTTTACTTACATTCAGGCAAAAACTAACCGACATCCTTTCTATTTCGCTAAAACACTACTTTACTCAGGAAAAATACATTCAATTTTGATTCTTTAGTGAAATTCGATGTAATTGTTTTCACTGAAATCAACCACTGTGTAGACAGATTTTTCATCTATTATCGGAACTAAAATCGTATGTATGAAATAATATTTTCCAAAACAAAATACGAAGAGCTGAGGATAAAGTGGTTGAATTGTATATGATATATACATTTAAACAACAAGATGTGAGAGAGATTCAATGCACAAAAAAAGAAGAAATAAAATTCAGAAACTTGCAGAGAGAATAATGTGGATCAATATCTTTTGAAGAAATTGTCCTGTGTATAAGCTAATATGGAATCTTTCTGGAGTGACACGAATCTCCGTTCGGCTTGTACCGGAGTGATACGAGTTGGGCACGAATGAACTCAATGATATGTGCCAACATACGACTAACCAATCAGAATTCGCGAAAAGAAATGCGTACATGTTGCGTACGAAGAAACCTATATCAGATTGACATTTTACTCTTCAATAATGAGTAAAACAGAGCTACTATTATTTATGCTGGTCATTTTCTCAAGCTAATCCCTTTATTGTATATCTCTCAAAATATACACAATTTATAATTGAAAGTCATCTCACAATCAGTTTTTGTTTGTTTGTATAACGCCGCGCTCGGTAATCTTGCTCCATGCAGCGTTAAAGAAAAAAAAACCCAGTAATATTCCAGCTATATGAAGACAGTCTGTGAAAAATCGAGTCTGTATCATTGACAACATAAGTATCGATCCACGCATCTGGGATACGATGACATGCATCGACCAAGTCAGTGAGCCTGACCACCTGACCCCGTTAGTTGCCTCTTACAACAAGCATATACAGTCGCCTGTTACAGCAAGCATTGGTTGCTGAAGACATATTCTAACCTTGATCTTCACGGGTTTCTTACACTCAGTCCATTGATGGAAATTAATTGGGTGGTACAGCACTGCAGCTCACTTGTGTAGCCAACAATGACAACCACTTAACACATGTTTAAGTAGTATTTATATCAACTATTTCCTGCTTGCTACCTAATAAATTGAACAAAAAATAATGCCATCCAAAGGAGAAACATACATGCCACAGTGCCGATTCCTATATCCGGCCACGAAAGAGTTTGATAACAACAAGGTCAAAACAAGAACAAAAGTATTACAGCATACCATAAAATACTACAGCATATATGTATATGTTGAGCTGCACAACTAATCGTCAACCATATGCCTGAGCATTTGCCATAAATATTTTGTTCAATATGGCTGCTGTGTCAGATTTGAATGCTTCACTGGTCCTGTTTGTGTTGCAAACGTCGCATGATCATTGACAATGTTGGTGATTCCTTTGAGCGTTTTTGCTCTAAGAAGACAATATGCGTCTCCTCACAACCGAGTCTGATTGAGACTGGTAAATTTGGCATACCACCCCTTGTACGTACTGTCCAAGGTCACGTGCTCCATGACTGTCACATTGGTGTATCCAGGAGCTTGATTACGTCGGAAATGTTCTTGTCACCTTAACGCATACTTTCCCCTCAAAACAAAATAATTCCCAACTTTTCTTACATTGAATACGTCAAAAACGGAACATAGTTTTGTCACGTCAATGTGGACCCTGTTCGTAGTTTGAGCTACCCTTATGGGAGTTCAATGGCAGTCGCAAGATCTGTTAAATACAAGCCTGGTATGAAATGTCCTGAAGATTTCTTGATTCCGATTGGTTAACAAGAGGTATCGTTTATGTTCCTGCTTGTGTGAAGACCATGGATTGGGATGGCATAAGGATGGCCCCTTCTCGGCCCGTCACCTTTACCTTGCGGATTAGACTGGAGGCAGATGATGGCACGGAGCATGCTACGAGGTTAACTTGAATGGCCTGTGCAGCAATGCAAGAGGCAACTTTTCTTTGTTGTCATTGGGCCCACTGAAGTGTACACAGATGAAAATAACTCCGGATTTATGATATACTGTCCGTTACTCACACGAGCTAATACTTTTGATTGTGTACTGCAAGACAGAAATGGCTTCGATTGCCAGATGAAGGTGTCATTATGGGAGTTCAATGGGGTTCCATGATCAGTTAAATGAAAGCCTGATATGAAATGTCATGAAGACTTCTTGATTCCGATTGGTTAACAAGAGGTATCTTTTTTCGAAATAAAACCTATTTTCTTATTGAACCATTTCACATAAGAGCGTATGAATACATCGATAACCTACATATCGATCCATAATAAATGGCTGCCAATAACCCATTAGAACGAGGCGCCCAGAACTGTATACCGTAATTCCTCAACTAGATGCTTTATATGCTATAGACGTCAGGTCTACGTTTGGCGCGAAACTAATAGACGCCTGGGCGTCTAATTGAGTAAATACGGTACATTTGATATCGGATGTTTATAACGTCGATTTTGAGGTTGTAGGCCATATCTCTGATTCATAAAACCCCAAGGTACAGGTCCGGTAATTTCCTCATTGACAAAACATTATTAAAAGCGTCTTAAAAGACTTTATTCATGACACCATTGTTTACAAACTTTTTGTGTGATCGATATTCATCTCCGTCAACCGCCAACGTTAGGATTTGGCATGAGGGGATTTCCAACACTGCTCTATCCCAAAGGCCACACAAACTCACGAACAAATATCCCGACATCTAGAAACCTAATCAGGGCGAGCCAGGATTCGAACCCATAATCATTGGTTTCTAGCGTACCCAAGGGACGCAACACTGCACACCGAATCGTGGCGCCTTATACGACTGGGGCACGGAAACTCGCAAATGACTGTCCTAAAGCCCTATGTTCCAAATTGGGAAAATAAGTATCTACTAAAACAGCGGGACTTCATCAAATTTCCAAAGTCAGTTGGTTTATCACCTAAGTTATCTTTGTGGAAGTATTACAAGTCTACATGTACATCACAGTGGTCGTTCGGGTCAGGCAAAACAGTGGCAATCCATCAATTAAAAAGGGCGAGACATTCTAGTTTGAAATCTCTTCTGAGTTAGAAGGCGGAGTGAAGTATTTCGTGAGTATGCCTGCTGCCAAACTGTCGTTATAAACGTTCACCATTGTCACCATGCGCATCCTAGAAATGAAATATAATCCATTAAGTCTGATGTCACAACAATATGTTTCATGATAAAAGCGCTCTTTAATATTGTAAGTTCTTCCATTTTAGTCAGCCGTCATATAGCTAGAATATTGCTGAGTGCGGCCTTAAACAACAAAACAACCAACCATCCTTTTTATTCATTATTAAAATTATGGATAAACTAGTGACATAGTTGATGTGTAGGTGTTATATTAAAAAAAAAAACTGTTGCGAATTTGTGAAGCATTTACAATAAACATCTAGAAAGACGCCATTTGATAATTTACTCAACATTACTCAACATATCATCTCGGAATAGATGTTAATATATATAAAACAATCATGAATAATTGTAATTTATATTTACATATTTCTGCTGATTTTGTAAATCATATTTGCAGGAGTGACCATGAGGTGAGGTGAGGTGAAATCAGGTTTAACGTCGCGTCCAAGATTATTGAACTTATATAGCGACGTGCATGCACGTGTATGTGTGTGTGTGTGGCTGCTTGTACTAGTCTGGACAGATGCTGATTTTTAGTGCTAGCACACTAAGATACCATGCTGCAGTTTAACATGAATACCCCACTCAGACACAGTATACTGACTCCGAGCCGACCAGTCCTTGTTTTAGCCCCTTAATGTCGAGCGCCAGACAGGGTAACAACAAGTACCATTTTTTAACATCTTTTAGTATGACGCGGCCGGGGTTCGAACCTCGGTCTTCCGCTCTCCGGTCGGGCGCTCTACCATTAGACCACGGAGGCGGTCAGGAGTGACCATGAACATACGTACATGAACCAGTCCACGGCAAGCACTATGTAAGCATCCTCTACGGGCAAACCCACAGCAGCCACAACCAGTAGCATGGTGATGAAGCCAGTTCCAGGGACTCCTGCAGCACCGATACTTGCCAGAGTTGCAGACAGGCTGGAGTACAAATAAAGTGAAATAAAATGTTTCTGGATCTGGTTGGAAGTCATTCATTGAACGCAAAATGCTTAAGTATAAACTGACATTCACAATTGTATTCATTGTCACTAATTTGAAATACTTCACAAATAAAATATTTTTTCCCAAAACCTTGATCAGTTATGTATTATAGTTAATATCAATATGACCGAATAGCTTTGGCAGATCCCTCTCCTTGAAATATTCTTAATGTTTATTATTATCTTTACCCTTTCTGGCGCTCGGCATTAGGGGTCTAAAACAAGAACTGGTCGGCTCGGAGTCAGTATACTGTGTCTGAGTGGGGTATTCATGATAAAACTGCGGCATGGTATCTCAGTGTGCTAGCACTTTAAATCGGCATCAGTCCGGACTAGTACAAGCAGCCACACACACACACATACACGTGCATGCACGTCGCTATATAAGTGCAATATTCTTGGACGCGACGTTAAACCCCATTTCACCTCACCTTATTATTATCTGACATTAAATGTTGAGCATAATACCTCGAGCGAAACGGTAAGAGCTGAGAAAACGGTGGTTATATTGACTTCTTTATACCTGATTGCTACTAAATCTGCAAATGTGAGCATCCTCTGGTTCATCTGAGCCAGGAAGATAGGTGTGAGAGCCTGAATGATGGCCAAACCGTCCATATTTATAGTTGCTCCTATGGGTAACACGAACCGACAGATGGGCTTACTGAATTTCAGCTTCTCCTCGCAGCAGCGTATAGTAAGAGGCAGAGCCGCTGCGCTGAAACAGAATATGATCACACTTAGCCAGAACTTACATGTTTCTGTACCTCATGTCTCTATATTAAAGAATCAGGTCAGAATATGTCGTCAGTGGTTTATGGTTGTTACGAGAACAGAACCATTGATGTCAGCTAAATGATGGAGGAAAGCCTGAAATGATGCAGGTCTTAGTCGTTTACCAGTTTGGCGAAATCCTGATAGGTTGGTATGGCGTTGATAAACCCAGAAAATATATCAGGGCAAACCAACGATCATAGGCTTCTGGCATGGCAAAGAGACACAACTCTGCACAGTGAATTACGGTGTCTAAAGATGGCTATCCCACCCTTACTACGTTTACATGAGCATGCTACACATGACTACCAGAGCATCTCATGTGTGACTGCTTCCATAAGCCACGAAAGCCCTGACAAAAGTGAGTGCTCCCAGGCAAAAAAATAGGCGATGAATAAAAACAGAGGACGGTCAGGTCTTCCCGTCCGAATCCTCAAGGTGCACACATGCTCTATGAAAGAAACTAATAATAAAATGTTAGGAGGAAAAAGTTAACAGTTTGTTTTTGAAGCCAAGACTTGGCAACACAGTTACAGGACTCATATATTTTAAAAACACGTAACTTTCAAAATCGTTCATAAAATAATAATGTTCACGAAAACGAAATTATGTCCGCTTCTTTACAAAGTACAATGTTCGAACCTGGAACTTGTACCCAGTCCAGTCAGCAGCGACTCTACCATGCCAAGGGACACCCGGAATGGATTTTGCCTGGTTAGTGTGAAGTAGATAGTTGGCAGCACAATCAGTGAATGAATAGCCAGACCAAGGAGACCAGTGACCATGTACATAGCCAGTTGTTGAGCTGATGTCTCTAAATCCGGTACTTCAATAATTTTTGTCATGATGATGAAAGGAATACCTATAGGACTGTACCTGAAAGCAAGAAAGTAATGATATATAAAGTTTTTTTAAGCTCAGTGAGTCAGCGTTTGGTTACGTGATGAGGCTACATTCTTTAAATTGTTTTTCCGTCAAACATTTAGCCCATTCCATTGACAATCAACAGTGTATTCTCTGGGCTGATCGCTTTGTTTCACTCTTTTACCATGCTCCCAAAGTCCAGTGTTGACTTTGAATTCCTTCACCACCATCTACATTCTTGAATATCTGATTTTCAATGTAGAATTAACGCCTCATCCCCGTGAATACTAGCTTTGGAGATATTCAAAGCAGTTGTAGGTTTTTTAGTGAAATGATGGTAAACGGTTATAATTACCACATAACCAATTTTGTCATGTTCATGGTTATTTCATTCAGAACGTGGAAGAAGTCCACCATAGCACGACCAGACTCGCCCAGCTTATTCAGCATCACACCAAACACCGCAAAAAACAACAGGATCCCTAGACAAATATATAAACCAGAAAAAGACAGTCATCGTTATATAACCAACAAGATATACATTCGTTAAATTGTGTGCATAAAGTGTACATATACCTTCAGACCTACTCTTTAGATGCAACCTCGTTAATTAATACAAAAGTTTCATTTGATGGACAGTTGATCTTTTCATATTATCAACTTCATTGACTCACAATCCTTATCGAGATTGTGTGTCAATGAAGATGATAATTATCGGGAGACCCATGAAGGTTCCGGGGTAGAATAGGTCTTCAGCAACCAATGCTTGCCGTAAAAGGCGACTCTGCTTGTCGTAAAAGACGACTAACGGGATCCGTTGGTCAGGCTCGTTGACTTGGTTGATGCATGTCATCGATCCCAATTGCGTGGATCGATGCTCATCATATTAATCACTGGATTGTCTGGTCCAGACACGATTATTTACAGACCGCCGTCATATAGCTGGAATATTGCTGAGTGCGGCGTTAAACAACCAACCAACCAACCAACCAACCAACCTTATCGGGATCGCTGGATATCGTACTGGTTGACCTCCACTTGTATCAACAACGGGTCTCTCACCAGCTGTCAGTTGTTTTGAGGATTTTCGATACGATCCCGAGGTTTTACTGCATATAGATGTAGATGTACATGCGTATCTTACCTTCGTCACTCGCTTACCTGTGACATTCATGCCATCTTGGTAGTTCACGGATTTCTGCCAAATATATCCACCATATTTCGTTGAACTGTGTTTTGTAAGTGTCGTTCCATTAGTGTTCACAGGCTCAGTCATGTACTTGGTGAATGTTGTTTTTGAGTGTTGAAATGCGGCTTGCATGATGTTTTCGGGGAAGATATTTCTGATACAGTAAAGTACAGCAAATAGTCGGGACCAAAACAGTTAGTTCGTTATATCCGTAAATTCGTTATAAGCGTGTTTGTTATAACCGTAGTTTACTGTATATGAACATTCATTAGTGTCATCGTACTCACATATTCTCACTTATGACAGAGCTAAAGGGGAACTTAAAAAAAATACAGTATAAATAAAGGACCATGAGGGTATTGTTATGGGTTAACATGCTAACTGAATTGGGTTTTTTTATGAAAGAAAGAGATTGTGATTAAACTTTAACAGAAGGCTCACCTCAAGAGGTCTAATATGGCGTCCGTCGTTACGGGCAATGGCATGTCATGGACTCTGTCAGAAAGTGGATCTGTTTTGGTGACTTCCCCTGGTCGTACAGTGATCGCCAGTACGATTCCGAGGACAGTGGCGATAACACTGGTGCAGAGATAATACGCCAACGTCATAATGCCTAACTTGCCACGTGACTTGTTTAGGTTTGCCACACCTGTGCAACATGGGTTAAATGTATCAGGCTCGGAAGAAGACCCCTAACAGCCTTCTTATTATTCTTCTTCTTCTTATTATTTCAATGCATTATCTTATCGAAACGGGATTCAAGGCCACGATATACATGGAGGTTTCTTGCGACCGCAGGCATGCCCAGGATGCAGCTCTGTCCAGTAAATTGTGGCTCCTGAGACAACTGGGCCATCGGTGTCTCCCAAGGAGTAAAAAGTGAAAATGTCGACTTTGTCAGGTTACCAGATGCAATAAATATGTCATTGCATATTTTTTAACAAGTCCTTACGTTCTTTAATCATGAATCCATGCATTTATTGAGACAGACTGAAAGTTCTGTCATAATGTTCTACTATTCACGAGTGAATTTATTATTTGAATTCGTTCGTGTGAGATATCATTGATCGTTTTCAAATAAATTCAGTATCTCCTCATTAATGCATATTACATTTTTGCTTGTACATAATAATGAATTGCATAGCGTTTGTACTCACCTGTGACCATGCTGGAGCTTACGAGGGGCAGCAGTAACAGCTTGAACATGCGCATCAGCAGGTCGCCGGGGACACTGATAAGACTGACAGTGTGTGGGCTGGGTTTCAGCCGACGAGTAAACATTCCGAGAATCACTCCAAGGACTACTGACGTGATGATGGCTATCAAGAGCACGTTGCGTTTTAGACAATGACGGAGCTGAAAACACCGACACATGTCAGAAGTGGTGCTGCCCCATTCGATCCAGGAAAGTTGTTGAGGATGTCCAACGTTTGTGGTTTGGGAACTGTTTAATTTTTTTTCTTTGAAATTAGGGTGTCAGAAGAACAGAAAACTTTACCTCCAACTTTCAACCTTTAGATTTTCAGGTGCTCAATTTAACACACCGCCTCTAGAATTAATCAAACAGTTGACAGTGTGCTGTTGATATGGTAGAAATGATGTCATTACCTTGCTTTTCCAAGTTGACATGTTTTGTGCTCTCAAGAGAGTGCCCGCTTCTGTGCTTGTCGTTGTGTCCATTTCTAAAGGTTTTCTTTGCCTTTCAATTAAAAGGGGTTAATAACTCAGTTTTATTCCGGTGAAGCACCGTCTCATGGAAATGGTAAGATGTTGCTGGTGAAGCCTATCTTGGAATAACTGATCATAAATGTTCTGTCAATAAAGGTAGTGGTTATCCAACAATGAAAAAGTGAGTGAGTTTAGTTCGACGCCACTTTATAGCCATGCTTGACAACAGCTCTGACAAGTAAGTTTATCTTTATGTTTGTAGAAATTGGATCTTAACAATGACCAAACATAATTATCAACTGGATGAAAACTGAGGGCCAAACAAAACCCTCAAAATCACCTGGTGTGCATTTTCAAAACAATATGATACGTGTGTGTCAGCTGATTTTTATTTGTCTGTTCGTTGTTTAACGCTTCACTTAGCAATACTCCAGTTATATGACGGCCGTCTGTAAATAATCTTTATCTGGACCAGATAATCCAGGGCTTGATTTAATGAGCATCGATCCACATAATTGGGATACGGTGACATACATCAACCAAATCAGCGAGCCTGGCCACCCGATTCCGTAGGTTGCCTCTCACAACAGTCAGAGTCGTCTCTTACGGGGAATATGGGTTGCTGAAGACCTATTCTAACACGGATTTTCACTGGTTAATCATTGGTAACCCAACAACATTAAAGAAATATCATTGCTGAGAGACGACATGCTTCTGATCAACATTCAGTGGCCATGTTGGTCTCTTTATGGCACTATAGACCGTCTTCCAGTGATTTCCCATGTGTGTTCTTGGAGTGAAGACTCGAGCTCTACGCCTACTTCATCTGACCATCAAAGTCACTCATCCCCGACGATGCCAGGGCTGTCTAATTGCTACTGTTTACCTGTTTTTGAAATTTAGACGAAGAAGGTTGAATCCAATGTCTTGAACAGTATCTTGTAAAATGTATTGAACGATTGAATACGTTAGAGGCGCCGACCAATTGATGTTAAGTCACAAACCTACAGATTACGGATTGAACACCATAACTGCGTGTCACATGAGCAGAGGAGAATAGTAAACACAACACGTTGACATCAGCAGAGGTGGATAGTAAACACGACACTTTGGCATCAGCAGAGGAGAATAGTTAACAACACGTTGACATCAACAGAGGAGAATAGTAAACACGACACGTTGACGTCAGCAGAGGAGAATAGTTTACACAACAAGGTGGCACAAGCAGAGGAGAATAGTTAACAACACGTTGACATCAGCAGAGGAGAATAGTTAACAACACATTGACATCAGCAGATAAATTGACACACCACGTTGACATCAGCAGATAAATTGACACACCACGTTGACATCAGCAGAAGAGAATCGTTAACAACACGTTGACATCAGCAGAAGAGAATAGTTAACAACACGGTGGCATCAGGAGAGGAGAATAGTAAACAACACTATGGCATCAGCAGAAATGAATAGTTAACAACACGTTTACCTGTTTTTGAAATTTAGACGAAGCAGGTTGAATCCAATGTCTTGAACAGTATCTTGTAAAATGAATTGAACGATTGAATACGTTAGAGGCGCCGACCAATTGATGTTAAGTCACAAACCTACAGATTACGGATTGAACATCATAACTTCGTGTCATGAGCAGAGGAGAATAGTAAACACAACACGTTGACATCAGCAGAGGTGGATAGTAAACACGACACTCTGACATCAGCAGAGGAGAATAGTTTAAACAACACGTTGACATCAGCAGAGGAGAATAGTAAACACGACACTCTGACATCAGCAGAGGAGGCGAGTTAACACAACTCATTGGTATCAGCAGAGGAAAATAGTTCACAACACACCAGACCTTAAGCGGGGAAGAATAATTATCATAACGTCATGACTACAAAAAAGAAGAATACTAACGAAGAAGCCGGTAATCTAATTAGTCTTACCTTTGGTATATCATCCAGAAGTATCTAATGTGTTTTGTAGTGAGAGCCGAAGAATATACGGTTTATATGAATTCGGTCCATACACAGTGCATGCATTGGGTATCAGTGTACTGCGAGTGATTGGATACTTGATCAGGTCATACAATAATAGCGTGCCCTTTTACGTAAATAGTGATCCCTGTGAAGTTAGCGTTAAGTTGTATCTCAGGTCGCGTACTGTACACAACCTCCTGCGCCCAGAAGCTTGGTTCTCTCACCAGCTCAAACTGCACGGTTGTCAATCACCCAGGCCCCTTGGGCTGACAAATATGAACTTGGAAATTGAGTACTACCAAGCATAGAGCATGGATTATGACGTGGCAAAAACAAACTCATATTACAAGGCAAGTCAGTCGCACATCACCTTAATCTTGGTGGGGAGAACATCAAAACTATGCCATATAATAAAAGGCCAACTCAATGACAAACACATCATGTAACCAAACATCCAACTACAAAAACTATGTTACAAACTGCAAAATAGAGGGCCATTCATCCTTGTCGCCGAAATGTCCAAAACGCTTGCTCATCAGCAAACGCAGAAGTAAAATGCCTACTCCACATCTATTCAAAACACAGAGGTTGAGAACACCAAGGCGACAACAAATTGCATATTTATAAGAAAAGACGCTCCAATGATCCACGAAACACACATTACTGGAAGTTGCAGGGAAAATATTTGCAAAACTTATCTGCTCTAGATTATCATTATGGGCTGATATTGACGATAAAATGATAAAGGGACAGGCGGGTTTTCGGAAACGATTTCAGACCCCAGAGAATATATTTATTTTGAATACTATAATCCAAAAGTTTTTATCTCAGAAACGTAGTCGTTTTTATTGTGCATTTATATATTTAAAGGCTGCATGTGACTCTGTTTTACAGAAGTGGCTCATTGTATAAACTTTGGCATGGTTAGGGTTAAAGGTAGACTATATAGATTAACAAAATATATGTACGAAGACAATAAAGCTTTTGTTTCAATAGATGCTGGCTATACAGATTTTTTTCACTGATTGAGGCAGGGGTGTCAAATGTCACCTCTTTTTTATCAATGATGTTATAGACTTTGTGAGTTATGATGGACAAAAAGGACTAATTTGAGTTGTTAAAATTGATGTTTGCTGACGACATTGTCATGTTTGATTTCACACCATTTGGCCTACAAAAGCGTTTAGATAAATTTGCTTTGTATTGTAACAAATATAAATTGAAGTAAAATTTAAAAAAAGTAAAATCATTGTTATTTTTATAAATGGTGGACCATTAGGGTTTCATGAAAAAAATTGCTTTAACAAAAAAATTCTTGAAATAGTATCTTGCTATAACTATCTGGGTGTTCGTTTTTCCTCATCTGCCTCGTGGTGCTTAACCCAAAAATTATTAGCGCAACAAGCTTGGAAATGTATCAATTTAATGCTTCAAAAACTTCCTGTAAGTATACAGCTTCGTATCTTTGATATTAAATCATGTCAATTTTATAATATGGATCTGAGGTATGGGCTTTCCACCCCATATGTAGATACAATTCATGACAGCTTTCGAACATAAGTATTGGGTCTTAAACGTCAAAACCCGAATAAAGCTGCGAGAGGGGAGGTTGAGAGATTTTCTGTAATGGTTTTTCAACAGAAGAGAAAAATCACTTATTGGTTACGACTGCTGAGCCAAACATCAAACATTATTCTTAAGCAAGTGTACCACTTGGAGTTCAGTAAGGCCGAAATGGGGACAACATGCTGGGCTCATGATGTTAAAAACTCGTTATATAAGTAAACTATGGGTCGGCCCAAACAAGGGGTTGGCTATGTTGATTTATTTATTGACCAATTTGTAAAACGTTGTAAAGATATTGATAATATTACAGCTTCTCCAAAGTTAGACTTTTACAGACATGTTAAAATAGAATATGGTTTATAAGTTTATATGTTTTGTATTCACATCTATCTATCTATCTATCTTAAAGCTTCAGCCAAATTAAGATGCCCTAGTCATACTTTAATAGTAGAAATATGTTGACAGTACAATATTAACAGAAGATTCTGTCCATTTTGCATAGTATTAATAGTATAGTCAGAATACCATTTCTGCCGGCAATGTCCATTCTATGCAGATTTAAGAGACAGCATCTTACCAAAGTATTATTGTGTCCATCTAAACCAGCAAAAACTTAAAATGATTTTCTCAAGCTCGAATCCGCCTTTACTTAACTGTCTAGGGCTATATATTTTCTTAAACCCTTAAGAAACGCAATGGATATTTTAAAGATATCACTAAGTAGTAATACTCGCCACTAATGTACATCATAAGGCAAACATTTTGGCGCTCTCTGTAAAAAACATGAGTGTGAGTATATATTTATCTAATGGACCGGTGACTTCAGTATGGAATAAGCAACTTATCACTCTACTGAGCAAACAATCGTATCTGTGAGCACTGATCTACCTGCTCACATACACAATGCCACAGCTTAACGCATGGAGAAGAAAACCCAAGCCCTCGAATCAAACCCCATACCTTCCAATACTCAAACTGAGGACCAGAAGCAACAAATCAGTCAAGCTCAAGGTCATTGACACGGCACTGATCCAGAATACAAGCAGGGAAATGAGAAGCCATCTGCATCCTCGAACTGGCTTCAAAATACTGAACTACAAAGGAACAAAGAAACAGTTCCAATATATATAGGACATGTCCTATGAGCGCACATCTAAAATCATGGACTTGCTTTTATTACAGTGGAATGCAAAGGGCCTTGAGAGACACGGCAACGAACTGCATGCACTCGTAAAATACATGTCATAACGCCGTATGTCATTCCAATACAGGAGACACAAGAAAGAGCCAAATTCTCACTATCTGGATGTAGTAATTATAGAAAAGACAGAAAAAGACTTATTCCCAGTAACAAGGGAGGAGGACTTATCACCCTTGTCCACGACAGCTCTACCTCCAAAATATCAAAACAAATGTAGGAAACCTTAAATCCCAAGTAATCTCCTAAAAAGTGGAAGATGTCAATTAATTAGGCATAGCTAACGTATACCACAGGGTAACCCATGATACAAACACAAAAGAGCTAAAGAGACTAGTTCAAATAATAGACAAAAATGGCACAATCCTTGCTGACATTAATGCACACAGTCCTTTTGGGGAAAATAAGAACGATTCATGCAAATACAGCAAAATCGTAGAGAAATGGGCTAAAGACGACAGTCTCACAACGTTATGACTTTTGAGCAACACATGGAGTTCAGTTCACCTCACAACTGCCAACAGCAACCTAGCCTCACATTGCCAATGGCAAGTCCTTGATGACACTTGGAAAAGTGACCACGTTTCTATACTCACCCACATATTCAGCCATCCCAATTAGAGGAACATCCCACTCCTAAGCCCACATGGGACTATGCGAAGGCTGATTGCCCCATATTCAGGACGGAATGTACATGACATCATTCAAATCCACAGAAATTGCCTCGTATAATCCTGATATTCTTTTGCCAAAATCTCACCTCAGCAAACTATTGCCGCAAATACAAAAATCAATTCCAAAAAGACCACACAACTGGCCAAAACTCCGTTGCCATGGTAGAATAGGGAAGGCGACCTCATAAACACAACAAGCAAAACAACAACAGTTAGCGTTCAAACGCTCTTAAAGGAAATTCATAGCAACATCTGCACAATATGCGCATAAGGATTCAGTGAGCTGATTTGATGCATACTAAACATGTGCATGCCTTTTTTAAATAGAAATGAATATCATACATATACAATTATCGCACGTAATGTACCTAGCTGCACTGTCTGACGCAATAACACTGGCAATAATTGTCATTGCATCATAACACCTGCTTCCGATTATGTATTCCATTACGAAAATGCTTTAACATGAAAAAGGCACCGCCAAGAGACGTCTGGTGATCGTAAATGGGAAGCAGTTGATAAATCACCTATTTGGACGGATTTTGATAGAATATGTCACGATTTTAAAGTTTTCAAGCTAGTTAATCACTTATTTTCACCAGTAGTAAGTACCAGCAGTAAGTGCGGCATGAGGGTTGATGGACTAACGAGGAAAGGCCTTGATGTCATCAGGCAGTTACCTTAGCAGATGAGCAGACTATTAGCCATTAATGGTCTGATCTTTCAGGAGGTAGTCCACCAGTAGCAGTCTATTGGAATGCTAGGTGATGTTCCGTCGTGTTAACTGTTGTTTAGTCTCAAGCTGATGAATCTTGGGTTCATAGTTACAAAATACGCTCCTCAAAATCAGCTGGGTATGCCAGTAAGCAAGGGAAGTTTACAACTTAATACGTACAAACTCTTAAGGATGTACTGTACATCCTTCTTTGGAAGGCTCAAAGCATATCATCTACCGATCGTACCTTCAACAAAAATAACCACGAGTCAGGTACAGCATGATGGCTCCTCAAACATGACGGACTTACCTTCACCAATAACATACCTATTCGAGGTCCAAAATGATAAATCCTCAAATAACGATGGACTTACTTCTACCATTTACACTTCGGGAGATACAAATATTATTCAACATTAACTTCGTGCAGAACATTCAGATTAAATAACAAGATCGTGCAATGAATATTAATATGATTTGTATATTAATATTTATTATATCAACACTTATTATGTGTTAAAATACACATAGATGGATATAGAAATAATAAATAGCACACACTCAAGTCAGCTATAGGAAAATGTTGGTGTGCTACAGAATAGTTAATAAAGATGAGCAATATCGCTCATGTCTTGTAAGTGAATTATATTGCTGCAACGGCGAAATAGTGTCCATTTGCGGCCATTCTGGATTTCTGACCAAAAAAGTATAATGGGCATTACTTTTGAACTTGACATGGCACATAAACATATGAGATCATTTCTTAAAAGGCGATTGGAAACTTTACTTGCATGATTAAAATATTATATATACAGGTTGGTTAAAACTAAACACACAAAAAACTTGAAAAGTCAGCATATGTTACTTAGAGATTTGCAAATATCTGTCAGCATTCAAAGCAAATTCATATGATTCCATGAAGTTTGGAAGGAATAACATTACGTTTACTTACATTGCTAGCTATTCACAAAATGACACACCTGTGTCTAGACTATTCACTGCTCAACGAGGATGGCATTATATGATGCACATTGGTGACTACTATATTCACTGTTCCATGATGTCGCCCTTGCAGATGCTCTGCGTTGCTTTGTTGATTCTGTATTCGTCAATATGATCAAATCGTGTTCACTGTCTGGCCCCAGTAGCTGGAATCAAGGCTAACTCTCAATCTCCAGCTGCATTTGCAGTGTACTTTCCAACACACAAGAAGAAACTGCTCGGTGTACATGTACATGTATTGACTGATCATCAGTCTCCTGTTCCCCGGATGGCTGCAACGTAATCCAACAAGGCCAGGCTATTCAAGTACCTAGTCTGTTCACTGCTACATGCGAGTATCCTGTAAATGACACATCGTGCCTATTTTATTTACAGCTTTAAAAAATACCCTCTAAATGACTTACATGTGCCCAGATTATTCAAACCTTACAATATCATCCTTTAAATAACATACCAGTGCTAAGTCTATTCACATTTTGTGACGACCGTATTTGACTATCTTGCAAAGATTATATTACAGTAAACTACGGTTATAACGAACACGCTTATAACGAACTAACTGATATAACGAACTAACTTTTTAGTCCCGACTATATGCTGTAGTTATGCTGTATATATGCTTATAACGAATAACGGTTATAACGAACTAAAATTAGTAGTCCCTTTGAGTTCGTTATAACCGTAGTTTACTGTATCATATTATATGCACATGTATTCATTGACCACATTCACAATATAAGAAGCAAAATAGATACACTGGTACTCATCACCAACAAAATGAACACAAAGCACCACTAGACATGCTCACGTTACGTACAAACAATTTCTTTGTTTCTTGGGAGGAGTGGACAACTGTAGTCCATCATCTGTGTGTCTCATAATCTGTTTTTTATTGTGTTTTATGTACTGTTAAGCCCCTCCCATAACCAAGATATATGTTATGTATACGGGGAAACAGATTACTAAAATGAAAAAGAATAGTTAATTTTTTATAAAAGAAGGTTGAATACGACAGCGGCATTAACTGGAACATTTAAACCCTATCTGTTCACTGATTTTTCAAGTTCATGTTTTCATGATCTGTTTCATGATTTCAAAAGTTTTCTTACGCCACAATTACAAACAAAAATAGTCTTATAAGTTTATGTACCATGATTAGATGTTGTTATGCAAACAACCCATACCGTGCCGCTTGTGATGCTCGTCCTTCCGTACAAGTTGTATTTTCGTGTGTTTGTTTCTGTGAGGTATTGAAACTCACGAAAGTGTGTTGATTTGCGAATAGCTATCAATGTAAGTAAATTTAATACTGTTCCTTTCAGTCTTCATGGAAATCACATGCATTTGTTTTGTATGTAGAAAGATATTTCAAATCTCTAAGTAACATATGCTGGTTTTTCAAGTTTTTTGGTGTTTAATTTTAACCAACTTGTTTATATATTAATATTATCATGCAAATAAAATTTCCAATCGCTTTCTCAGAAATGATCCCATATATTTATGTGCCATGCACAGTTCAAAAGTAATGCCCATGATACTTTACACATACATTATCTTTGAGCGAAATATGCGCACTTATTCTTTTTCGTGTTAAATGTTCCCAACTTGTTGAAATAATACTTTAGTCTTGAAAATAATCACTTCAAAAGCTTTCTTGTGCTCCGATTACTTCCCAAAATGTTATCTTATGTTTATGTCCCATGGCTAGTTCAATAGTTGTGCCGATAATATTGTTTTTGTCGAAAATCCAATATGACCGCCAAGCCAATGGATATCATTTGAAAATATTTTGCCTTGTTGTCATCAAAATTCATATACTAGACATTACAATAATGTAAGTTAAAAAATATATCTTTCGGGTGCATCGGGACCCCCATCTTCCGGCTGAATTAAACCCGCACTCATGATATCACACACGATCAATAGTTTGTCATTGTTTCTCAGAACCATATCAATAGATCCAGACACTGTACCGTTTCTCTTCCATGTCTGTCAGACGCGTTTCAGAGAAATGAAGAGATGAGTGATACCGTGAGTGAGATACCGGCGTCCTTGATGTCGGACACGATCTGGAGTCCATCTAATTAAGCCCGACATTTGCTTGAATATTCGAGTTCATAGACATGTCATTACATATAAATGATATTTACATGTTTTTCAAGGATGATAATTAGCCTTTTCCCTATTTAATACCAGCACATTTTGGACTTTTGGCTTGATCAAATTACAAAAGTATAGGTAATGTGAACGAAGGGACCGACAAATCGAATTTCGTGAGAAAATATAGGTACATGTATAAGCAAGTCGAGGACCTAAGATGAATTTACACGTCATTCAGCTGTTCTTATTTAACTGCATCTTCTGAGGAAAATTGGTATGGGCCTAAGAATGTTTCTTGTTCAAATATAAGAAGAACGCTTCATAAAATATTTTAAAATCAACCGTTTTGCCACATTTTAGCTTTACCTTTGCTTTTAGTGTTAATACAAGTTCCACACATGCAATTGTTGTAATGAATACAAGCTTGATGTTATTCATTTAACCAAATGTGATAACTTTCACAATATTTTGTGAAGGTTCTCTTGATTTCTTAAAATATCAAAATCCCGAAGGCGGAAAAGGACTCGGGTATGCATCCCAACTTGGGTATGTTGTTTGAAGCCGATGCTCTGTTTTCCCATCGAGTAATTGTTTGAATGTTTGCTAAAATCGTCGTAAAACCCTACTCGCTCATTTTCAGTATCACTTTGAGGGTTAAACAGCTGTCAACGTTGTTAATACGGGACCATCTTAATTTCCTGAAACCGTGACATGAAACGATATTACACATGAAATATGTGTTATTTATTTTTCAGATTGCAAAGAAGTTGGTAACAATGTTACACGCCTTGAGCACAAGGTGATCGCTTCCAATGATATCAAGGTTACCACTGGCTCTTCACCAGAGTCCTGCAAACAGTCCTGCATCGACAACCCGCTCAAATCTGAAAGCAAACTTTGGCAAGTGGGAAGATACCTTTCAGAACAAAAAAACATGAATTGTAAAGGTTTGTCTCAAAAACAGAGAAAAAGCCGGACTAAACATTATACGTGGTCAAATGGTCCGCCCCGCAAGAAATTGAGTAACCACTGGAGTTTGTGACCTGTCCATGTTCGCAAGTGTGGTTCCTGGCGCTTTCGCTGCAGCCGGGTCACCGGGTTTCAGCTGATCATGATCTACATGGACGCCTATGATGGACTTGTTATCACTCCTCTCTGGATCCTGTGCGTTGTTGAGGGCAGCTGTCTTACTAGCAAGTAGATAGTGCGCATGTACGCATGCGCACGTATACGTTTCATTGACTGTATTGATCATGAGTAGATAATTAAGTTTCACAACAAAGGGTACACCAAGCAACATTAATGTCATTCAAGGGTAGTTTACAGCCCATACCCCTCTCACTAATTTGATTGTTTCGCTTATTTTCTGACTATATCAGAGTAAAGCAGCTATAAAAGTTCAATTTTCCATGATGGGATTCGAACTACAGACCTTTTGATCAAAGGAGGGTGCCTTGTCCACATGCCTAAAGGGATTAACACCGTCAGCAGGCTGACAAGGTACGGATATCACGCGTGGGATGGCGTTGCGCGCTGCTACAAGTGTAAAGACATCAAGGGAGGCAACTCCTCAAGCCCTTGTGTACTTTTATCATCAAAGTTGCCACGATGTATCAATATAGGACTACAGATGAGGTTTGTTATTTCTTTGTGTTGATAATAGTTCTTTTGTTAAAACATATCTTACACAAATTTCGTTTATGCAAACCTTTAGGAAGAATAATATAAACATCGATAGATACACATTGGTACGATCGTTATAATGAATGAAAATCTGCCAGTGGGCATTATTGAATGCTCCTCTGAGAGGTAGCGGGGACGAAGGTAGGGGTGGCGGTCTTCACTGTAATCAGCGCTGTATTAACAAAGGTACAACAACACGACAATGAGTAACACTTCTTACAACTGGTATCAAACGTGTGTGTGAGATCGAATTCCAGGTCCGTGATAGGCTTCTTCACGGTGATGACCTAAAGGTCCGATTTTGAAGGACCACTTGATTGCAATTCATTCAAAGTTTTAATAATTTTATTTGTTTTGTCACATCAGGTTTGCATTTTCATCATCGCTTTGATAATCCACAGATATTTGCTGAAACGATTTTTGGAGTGTAACACTAAGTGTGAGTGGTCAGCAGTAAGCCGGATGACATCACTCATGGCCGTTATGTTATGTATTATGTATTAATTCGTCACTGCGATCTGAAGAATATCACATATCCATCGATCCATGCTGACATGGTCTCATTTTAGGGTCACGCCGAAGACTCGGGTTCGATTCCCGACATTGGTACAATGTGTGAAGCTAATTTCTGGTGTCCACCGCCGTGCTATTGCTGGAGTATTGCTAAAAGCGGCGTAAAACCATACTCACTCACTCACTCACTCATTTTAGAGTATGTAAGACACAGATTATTGCACTCGTGCCCGTCAAGTAAGATTTATCTTTCTCTCGTCAGTAACGTTTCGAAATAATTGTTGTAATACATAACTGGTATCTGCTAGACACTCTCTTGTAACCTCTTTATCTCACCGGAACCGTCATCTTGTCATTCGAATCCTGGCAATGTTTAATTTAAGAAGTAATATATTTACAATGATGTGCAATGCGCACAGGACAAAGTCGATATGGACGGGCGTCGTGAAAGCGTCCAAAAAAACTATTTTTTCCGTCCAATGACCATATACGGAAAAAAGCGACATTTTCGTGTTTGCAGTGCATGTTAACTATTCGGTTTCGAAAGGGACCTCGTCAGCAAAGTTTTTTGCTTGGAGCTTCTATATTTCTGTAGCACTTATTCTGTGTTCCATCGAAGAAACAACGTACCACTCCTGCGTGCGATGTGGTAATGCTCACATATGAGGCTTGATGACGTTGTCAGTTCCTTGAGTCTACCCTCTCTCATAAGCCTTTTACAACTAAAAACAGTTCGAATGAAGAAGCTTCTTTTTCTCAAAACTCGTTTCCTTTTATACTAGCCTAACTTTAGTTGCTGGCGACCTAGAGACCATTTTTATCTCCTATTGTCAAGATAATCCTCTTTTAAATGTTCCCAAATTGGCTTTTCATGTAAATATATGATACATTGCTTGCTATTGTACTGTCTGTCGCTAAGAGGGTTTAATATATTATTATTGATTAAAAATATATGTAACATTTTCCAGTCACAATATGGCTGAAATACTGCCGTCGTGACGATAAAGCTTATCTCATTCTGGTTTCCCCCGCTGTTTTATTGCTTGAATATTGCTAAACGCGGCGTAAAACTATTCTCATTCACCCACTCACGTTACGACTGCAGAGTAGTGCAAGCAGATGGTCGAAATTGGAAAGCAGAATGAGATTATAAGAATGTCAGTTCTGTAACCTTTCTGATGTGGATGACATTATTCTCTTGAAGCATTTACTGGCTTGCGAAAATAGTAGTGAGTGGGTGAGTTGGGTTTAACGCCGCTTTTAACAGTATTCCAGTTACATCACGGCGTGTCAGCTTAATGTGGGGGGAAAGCCCGAAGTGGTGCAGGTCTCAGACGTCTATCACTTCGGTGAAACCCACGAGCGCGGGTATGGTGCTGACAAACCTAGAAACATAATCGGGGCGAACCGGGATTCGAACCCACAATCATAGGCTTCTGGCGTGCCTAGGGGACGCAACTCTGCACAGCGAATCGCAGCGCCTTCGACGACTGGGCAACCCGTGCCCCCAGAGAGAATAATAGTGTCATGTAGATGACATTTTTTGTTTCAAGCAACCCCTTAAAGTACATATCTGCATTTATTTGTTGTTGTTGTTGTTGCAAAAGCATGTTTGAAATATGTCAATGCATTGTTTTGTATTACAGGCAAGAAGTTTACATACAAATAAACAAATCTACTTCTACAGTCTCAGAACAATACTGAATTATACCGAACATCACTGAAGAATATTGATGAATAGTGGGTAACACTGAGTAGTACTGACATGTTTATTTGTTTGTCGCTGAACACCGCCCTCAGCTACATACAATAGCTGTATGAAGATGGCCTGTAAATAATCGCCGCTGAGCCAGATAATCAAGTGATAACGATGACACACAACATCATGTTCACACAAACAACCAAGCCACCGAGCCTGACAACCCGATTCTTTCCCACCCACTGAATGGTGTAAGGCAATAGACAAAAACATTCAGCGCTTGTACTGTTTGGTTGCATGCCAGCATAGTACCTCTGCCACAGGCCAGCGCCATGCGACGATTCGTCAAATCTTACATAGTCCATTCAAGATATTGCATATGCTTTTCGTCCGTTTCATGTTTGACAAGTCTACACATTTTCATCAACAAATGTCAAAGAATGGTTACGGTTCATTAATACAGTTTTTGCGTAGTTATCCTTTGTTTACATTGGTTCTACGGCTCCACGTGCTGTCATTGAAGTCCAACGGAGAGCTAGCGATGCGGTCACTTTGATGTATAAATATAGATTGTCATGCAACTCACTGTCGCAGTTGTAGTAGCATATCTATATAATTATGCAAAACAATTTGTAAAGCGCCCTCAAATACTTGCATTGGTCCGTTTTATACTGATTTCTGAAAAAGCGCGTTTGTTTTCAAACAACAGAAAAATCCTGTCACGTGATATGCAAATTAGCCCGTGACAGTGGTGTTAAGCTGAGTCACCACTGGTGCCGGAGTGTGAGAACGCTTAATAAATTAACATAAATGTTACCAGGATCTACTGTGTCTGCTAACACGGATTAGGAACCTTGGTTTCTTAGCACGATGAACTAGTTTGGGAATTCAGTTTCTTTGTAAACTACGTTTATAACGAACACGCTTATAACGAACTGACGGATATAACGAACTTACTTTTTTGGTCCCCACTATTTGCTGTAGTTATGCTGTATATATGCTTATAACGAACTACGATTATACCGAACTAAAATTAGTAGTCCCTTTGAGTTCGTTATAACCGTAGTTTACTGTAGATGGAAATATGGAAGTTACGCATGTTAAGTTTAGACTGTTTTTAAGAGTATTAAATATTAGGTTTGCGAGTGAAAAGAACACAAATGTTCAGTTAAGGCATATTTTATTCGATGCGGAAAGCCAACACTTAAACTTGATCAATAGGTAGGACAACATAACAACGACTGTGCGACTACAGTGTGTGTGCAAATGTAAATTGAGCAATAGGAAAATACATTGTACATTGAAAATAAAATAAGTGTAATTTCTGCAGCTGGAATCAGGATGTAAAACATACGCAAAAATCCCAGTATGATACAGGGTGTCATGCAGAAATATAGTACATTCATAACTATGCATAATCATCATCAGCAAGAATCCTAATGTAAAAACGACAAAAATAATTGAAAATGTAAATGATTTATCACAAGGACAATACATTGTGAAAATAAAATAAGTGTAATTTCTGCACACATAAATCATTGTAAACATGATACAGGGGGCCATGCAGAAATAAAGTACATTTATAACTGTTTGCATCATCAGCTGGAATCAGGATGTAAAAACTACACAGAAATCCCAGTATGCTACGTGTATGACCTAAGTACCTAGTATACACGAGTCAACAATTAGTTCGATAGGAGCATGATCCAATCGAGTCATTTCAATATTACCGAGAGTTTGTGATAATCATCCCTGTGATATCTGGTATATATTCGCTTGAATTTAATGTTCATGCAGCAATGACAATCATCCTTTGTTGAGGCACTTTGTGCGAGGAAGCCTTAACTGCAAACTATGTTGCTGATAAGCGATACAATGTTACACAATACATGAATACCATAACGTTGGGCTGTGTTCCCCGAGATACGCAGCGGAGGAAAACCGCATTGAAACACTATCATATTCCTGCTGAAGTATTTTCCTGCCATACGTGAATCAACTGCTTCATTAACATTTGTTGAAATATTCTATCGCTATTTTCCTGGTATATTCATATTCGGTTTTGACAAATATTTCTACTGGTCGCTATTTTCCCTAAGTTTGACATTCGTGATACGATTGAAATCAACGACACTTACCGTAAATAGATATGTGCAATGTCGTTATTCAAACAGGCCCATGCGATACGACGTGAGTGGAAACATACAAAATAAATATGTGCTGCATTTAATAAGTATAAATGTAAAAACAAATGACAACCAATACGACCAATAAAGTAACAGAAAAACGTCCCAGAAGAACGCTTTCACAATACTAAAGTTTGAACAATGTGAAAAATAACGCACAGATATGTATTGAACATGTCATAATGTCCAAAACGAACTATACCACCAGTATCTTGAATGCTCAGAGATATTGGGATGAAGCTTTGAGACACGTTCGAATCCCGGTTCGCCCCGATTATGTTTCTAGGTTTGTCAGCACCATACCCGTTCTTGTGGGTTTTACCGAAGTGGTAAACGTCCGAGACCTGCATCACTTCGGGCTTTCCTCCTACATATTAAGCTGACACGCCGCGATATAACTGGAATAATGTTAAAAGCGGCGGTAAACCCAACTCACTAACTCACTCACTCAATATGAGACACGTTGTGGAACCATTCATTCAGCAACAGACACGTGGCATTGTCTTCAGACAATGTGAGACCGCATACGGTAAGGCTCACACAGAACTTTCTGAACAACGCGAACATTCACGTTTTACCCTTGCCGGGAAATTCTCCTGATATCAACTCCGTCGAACATTTATGGGATCACCCTGACCAGATCAGAAGATCACATGCAGCAACTGTCAACCGTCAAGAACTCGAACTTCGAGCTTTCCTCTCACATTAAGCTGACACGTCGTGATATAACTGGAATTCTGTTAAAAGCGGCCTAAAACCCAACTCACTCACTCACTAATTAATTCTATACTAGTATTACATCCTGTTATAAACAGTTTGTGTTGAGATGCATATACGTCACATCAACAGAGACGAGAGTAAGATCCTATTTACCATCCAGAATCATAACCCTAACTTTTTCAGTTATCACTCAGTAATAATCAATGTCTTGAGTGTAAGAAATACAGTTGCCTAGCAACAATGGCAGATAAAATTTATTAGTGATGTCATTTGATTGTGACATCATAGCAATGGTCTTCAAAGATTTTGAGACAAGTGCATTGAAGTGATGTTAGTTTTGGATGAAAATCCCAGCTTTACTGATGCATGTCATATACGTTTAGTGGGAACAATGACATAAATATTTGTTGCATTGAAATAAGTATAGATGCTAACAGAATAATGTGATAATAACCTAAAACATATATATGTGTTAATCAAAACAAATATTAAAGTTTGAACAATTTAAAACCACATAGAACCACAGTGTCAAACTACGTAACACATACAGAGGATAGTGTTGTTTTCTCAGTTTAAGAAGCAACCTTACATATAAAAAAAGGCATCTCATGATGTATGACAAATATAAAACAGCTAGACGACAGTATAAACATAACGGTTTTGAACTGCTCACGATGCTAACAGAATAATGTGACATATATGTGTCAACTTAAACCCACAGTGTTAAACTATACTTAACACATACGGGATAGTGTTCTTTTCTCTGCTACTTCACTTTAACAAGCAACCTTAATTGTGAAAAAAGGCATCTCATCATTTTCTCAAACATATGACTCTTACACGACAGTATAAAACGGTTTTGAACAGCTCACGATGTAAGCTAATACAAGATCGATTACTTTGAACTCATTACTAACAATGCGATTTTCTTCTTTAATTTGACATTAAACAGTAGCAATAATACTGAAATACAAATGGGCAATTCCGAAATAACAACATGATAATGTTGTTTTTGAAACTGCTCAAATATGTTCTCGTATTGACCATATTTCAGGCATGGATTGCTTACATTTGCGTATTGTCATTGTATTGGCAGGACAATTGAAATAAGTCGACGGCCATGTACATTATTGTATTCCATTGTTTAAAATATCATTTTCAGGAGACGGCTGTGACAAAATCAAAACTGAACGTTTTAAGTATTCTCCTAACCACCATCAGACTTTGAGGTCATGACAACCGATAGTACATCTGGATTACATTGTTGATCAGCTTACTCCAAAAAGTATGACGTACAGTACACTACGGTTATGACGAACTCAAAGGTACCTCTAGTTGTAGTTCGTTATAACCATATTTCGTTATAAGAATATATGCAGCAACTGGCTAGGGTCCAAAAAGAATAAGTTATATCCGTTAGTTCGTTATTTAAAAACGTGTTCGTTATAAAGGTAGTTTACTGTACATTTATATCAACTTAGACTTTTTATATTGAAATAATGTTTAAGTTCAACGCAGACCTAATCACAGTAGCGAGAGCTGTACACAACAAGGAGAACACCCAAGGAGCAGGGTCCCATTTGAATTTGTCTGTCGAACAAACGTGAGCGTTGTGTCGCCTAGAACATTGACAGGACCGAATTAGCTGACGTCTCTTCCTCTATTTAGATTTCACTGTACTCATTGTCAGCTTCGGACCAAGTACTATCTGCAACAACCAATGTGTTTATGTCATCCACACATATTCCATCCAAACATCAACATTTTCTTTCTGTCATAAATCCCTCAAGGGGTGTTACATTTTGTAGGTAAGTTGTTTTACGCTTCAGTTAAATATTCCCGATGACATCTTTTAAATAGTCGAGTCTGGACTAGACAAACTGACGGTTACTGTTATGGTAAATGTCCTACGTCGTTGGGCAAAGATGACACACAATGTACCAAGTTTGTTTGTTTGCTGTTTGCTGTTTAACCGCGAATATTACAGCTTTTTGATGGGGTCTGTAAATCATCGATTATGGACCAGACAACACAGTGACTGATATCATGAGCATCTTAAACATTCGGATACAATGACATGCATGGACCAAGTCGCCGATTCTAACCACCCGATGCCGCTAGTTGACTTATTAACTGAGTCATCGAGCCAGACCACCCGGCCCATTTAGAGCCACTTACGACAAACATGGATAAGGAGACGCATTCTAACCCGTTGTCCGGTCAATCACACTTCCGTGTATACTTACACGTTCCGTTCTTTGTTTTCATTGGCATATCCGGTACGGCATACAGATCACCAATGTTCACAGCACCGCCTTCAGCTGGCTGGTGTTTGGGTGTCTTGTCCGGGACGGCATACATATCATCAACGTTGATAGCACCACCTACAGCCGACAGGTGCTTGGGTGTTTTGTCTCGTACGTCATTCAGATCACAAACGTCGACAGCGCCGCCAAGAGCAAGTAGGTGTTCGGGTGCATTGTCTGGTACGGCAGTTGAATATAGAATTATGGTGTTCATATTTTAACAAGTAACATCATATTATTCTCCCTAGATATTCTTCCTGAAATTATTAAGCTTAATGTAGAAGGCAGCACTCAAACTATAATCACAATTTGAATACAATAGTCAGATGAAGTGAAGAAAACCACAATAGAAAAGACTTACCATTGAAGTGCACTTTGTTGTCAACAGGTTCAACTTGGTATCTGAAAAGAAATATCATATTGTTTTTAAGTTATTGCTCTTTTCAACACTGGGAAACATTTGCAGGAATAAGTTTCAACATTTTCATGAATAATAATTTTTTTTCACATTTGAGGCGATACCATTGATCTGTCGACTTCCCTAAAGGTGATTAGCGTTACCCGCAGTATCACTGGTTGGTTGGTGTGTTGTTTAACGCCACACTCAGCAATATCCCAGCTATAGGACGGCAGTCTGTAAATAATCCAGTATGGACCAGACAATCCAGTTCTTAATATCATCGGCATCGATCCGATCAATTGGGTTCGATAAGCGAGCCTGACCACCCGATCCCGTTAGTCGCCTCTTACGACAAGCGTGGTCACCTTTACGTAGCATCAAGATCTAATGTGTCTATTTATAGTCCATTGTCCTCCAACAACATGCAACAAACGATCACGCTTATTAATACAATACAAATTTGAAAATATTTTAGAACTACCTGCGGATACAAAAATGTGCGTTTTTAAAAAAAACCCAGTTGCATTATCATTATAAAAGAACAATTATGAAGAAAATATTTGAACGATGAATTACCCGTGATAAGGGTTGATGATGCGACCGTTGTTGTGTGTGTTAATTATATTAATGAATACATTTAAATGAAGGCGACAAGCTCACCCACATCTATGGAGAGTTTTATGATGAAAACAATTAATTAACGTATTATGTACTGCATAAATGCGACAAAACCCTTTCCATATTCCCGCGAAAAACACAGTCGATTGTTCGATTCGGACTATATCATTAGCATGTGTTTATGAATCACTATTAAATAGTGGTTATACCAGGTGTTCGCCCCATCAGCGGCACCCGTCACATGCAAACACAAGTCAAATAATCACATGAAAAAAAAAACGGGAACAAGTCTGAACAGGGAATGAAGCCTCAATGTTCCCCACGTGTCTACAGTTAACATTTTTAAAGCTTTTCTGAGGCCAGGAATGTTACCTCGAATGTTGTAACCTTGATCAAACAGCTTCTTAGCAAGGAATGTATTACGCTCTTTTTGAAATCTTGATTGAAAGTGCATGATCGAATGTTCTTTAAAAGTTGTGAAATGTAGACACCAATAGCTGTACCTTCTGGAATACTGCTTGACATAAAGGGAAAGTTGACTGTTGGAAAGTTTAAGCCATTCCACTTGTCATGTAGTCTAGTGTTTTATCCCTCTGAATCTTTGTGCATAGTTCTACATATGAAACATACGAAGTGGTTTCATTTGTCTTCTTTATTTCTAGTTCAGGTGGATAAATCAGTGGAAGGGAACTGTCTATTTGGTGGTTATTGAACGATTTCTGATACCTATAAAAACAATACACCTATGACGACTCATACGGGCATTGTGGTGAGGTGAGGTGAGGTGAGGTGAGGTGAGGTGAGGTGAGGTAAGGTGAGGCGAGGTGAGGTGAGGTGAAATCGAGTTTAACGTCGCGTCCAAGATTATTGCACTTACATAGCGACGCTCTACCACTAGACCACGGAGGCGGTCCCGGGCATTGCGTGATCATGAAATTCAATGGTGGTATACAGTGGAAATACTTGGCACTCTACTCACGTAACATAAAGTGGGTTTTCTGAGACCTCTGCACCATTGTCTGCATCGCTGGTAGCTGTGAACAGACTTGACGACCAATACAATTGTTCATTTATCCTATTTCTGTTATTATTACTCTTGTGATATGGGTTGATGTATATTCAAATAAGCTCTTTTATTACAAGTAGGGATAAGAAAATGATATGACAGATGAGAGCTGTATGTTATTACATTTTATGAAACTGACATTTAATCTTTACATCTGGAATGCTTTATAACGCTGTCAGCAATGTTCCAGTTTCATCTTCAATCACTTAACATCAAATTAGAATCTGATACCAAATAATAGTAATATGTTCTGACCGTCATCAAAGAGGTGTAGTTTACCTTCTGTGACGTTTCCTTTTCTTCTCGTACTTACAACACATACACAGATAACGATTATAATGAGGATGAAGATTCCTCCACCTGTCCCAGCAGCGATATACATGGCATCATCTTGAAGAGAAAACAAATACTGGGCAAGTAAGCATACTGTCCGTGAACTTGGCACATGGATAAGTCTATATAAGTACATTTATGAGTTCGTATATATAAGCAATGATATAAGTACTGAATAATCTAAGACTACATATCTTTTACATGAAGAGAGTCCATGCTGTATACACGCAGATAGAGATGGTGACGTCGGTCTATGAGGAGCAATGATACAAAGTTACTAGTATTTAATTGACAATGTTTCACCATATAATTTAGTTTGATTGGGAAGTTTTCGAAGCACAGTAAAGATCTAGCTCCCAGGGGGGGCGGTTGGGTAGCCTAGTGGTTAAAGTGTTCGCTCGTCACGCCGAAGACCCGGGTTCGATTCCCGACATGGGTACAATGTGTGAAGCCCATTTCTGGTGTCCCCCGCCGTGATATTGCTGGATTATTGCTGAAAGTGGCGTAAAACCATATTCACTCACTCACTCTAGCTCTCAGGCACACTATAGTAAAATTGGAATAAGCGGAGTAATATTAAACACAGTTGTAATTGGTTAGCGCTTTCAGCTCGTACAAAGTATGAGTCTCATCAGGCCTTAACAGAATAACGAACATGAAGTTGTGATACGCGTAACCCGATAGATACGAGTAACCTTTCCGCAGAACTGTACAAAACTAGGTTTTAGGCATACTAAGCTATGGAATACTGTAAGGGACATTCTCGCGATCTCGCATTCTCGCGATCTCGACCTTTGGAAACGAGGTAAATATGCCCAAAACACGAGAATGCGAGATCGCGAGAACGCGAGATTTGGCCAAAATCTCGCGTTCTCGCGATCTCGCATTCTCGTGTTTTTGGTACATAGCACTTTTTGTCAAAAGTCGACAACGCGAGAATGCGACATTTGGACATGATGCAAAATCTCGCAATCTCGCAATCTCGACTTGTCAAATTAGGCCACAAAAACACGAAATCGCGAGAACGCGAGAATGCGACATTTCATTTTCTCGCGATCTCGCGTTCTCGTGTTCTCGCGTTTTAGACGCTGTCCGTGCGCATGCGTAATATCATAAGGTCAAGCGCATGCGCACGTTAGTAGTCCTTTGGTCATGCTTCTTTCATGCTCTTCATTCTCCAAGTAGCATTTAGCAAACTTATGACTTGAGCTTGAAAATGCTATGTAATTTACATACACAAAGTCTGAGTCATCTCCCGTTGTTACAGTTTCCTATGTACTTTATGATAAAACCCTCAACATGCTCAATATAATTTAACAAAAGAAATTGTGTACATGAATGTCCAATGATAGTGAAAACATAAATGTGTCCGAAAGCTGGAAACAAAACTATTACCGTCAGTGAGTGAGTGAGTAATATTGCTTAAAGCCACACCAGCAGTACTACAGTTACAGAAATAATCACAGGCCAGTGAGTTTCTCCATGAGGCAATGTTATACACGGCTAGCATATTCATGAAAGGCAAAATTCTCATTGACCAATTTGAAATACAAAACTAATTATCATATTTTCATCCGCTCCAACCTGACTACAAAACATCCCGCTTTACATTATTTTATAGTTAAAATGGATAAAACTATCATTAAACCGCCCGCATGTTATCATAAATGAGCGGGCCACTGTTAAAGAAATAAACGACGAGTGGGAGTACAATAAAACACTGCAGGGAGAATAAACCATGAGGGGCTAGTGTTTTATTGTACAATAAACAACAACCACGAGTCGTTTAATGATTATATGAGATATCAACATTATGTACAGCCTCTTTAAGGATGTTGATAAAATGTACAAGGTTTAAAAATATTTACCCCTATTTAAGGCGGGTATTTCCCGCATATGCTCACACAATCCTCAGGTCGATTACACGTACCTTTTCTCCCAAAACCGATTGTCATATTGTAACCGGGGATTGTGAAGGAAAATACAATTTCAAACATAGGCTACGGGTGTGAGTGTTTATTGCCAGAGTAGATAATGACATCCTTTAATGTACAAAACAATAACATTATAAAAACAATACTGCATAGGTTTCATACACATACATATTCACACAATCATTCAGTTCATATAAACATACGTCTATATTCTGTACATGAACATGAACTTAATAATCAATGATATACAAAATCATTATCTTAACCCTATAATAAACAAACAATTCATCAAGGGCGATAACTCGATCCCGACATCACTCATAAGATACAATATAAACCTGGTCCATGTTGTAAAATACACTTAACATTATAAATACAATTATCACTTTCTTGAAACTGCTGTATTTATTCAGTAACTCACCATATATTTGGCACGATACACTATTTACAATTCATATTTCGAGACACGACAAACATGTAAATTACCCGTACCCTGTGGGTGACACTGGGATGTTTATCGTCTTCATGCAGCCGCCATTACGATAGAAGTGCCACAACATCAATGGAGAGCAAACTGACGGTCACTTCCCTCTCACAATTAACGTCGTCACTCACTGCGTTATAATGTTACAAGATCACAATCGAATCATCTGAAATGACGTCATGATTAATCGTATAATACATCCCGCTTCGTTCTTCGATGTTTTTAGCGATTAAACGCGTAGTCATCTATAGAGTAAGTGCGAGAGTTGGGTTTAACACTGCTTTTATCAGTATTCCAGTTATATCACAGCGTGTCAGCTTAATATGAGAGGAAAGCCCAAAGTGATGCAGGTCTCAGACGTTTACCTCTTCGATGAAGCCCACGAGAACGGGTATGGTGAAACAAGAAACATAATCAGGGCGAACCGGGATTCGAACCCACAATCATAGGTTTCGGGCGTGCCCAACTGACGCAACTCTGCACAGAGAATCGCGGCGCCTTAGACGACTGGGCCACCCAAATGAGTGTTTATATATTTGATGTCAGACCGCCGTCATATAGCTGGAATATTGCTGAGTGCGGCGTTAACAACAAACAAACAAACAAACAAACTCTTTCTGAAAAATACCATTTGGCATCCATGTTGGTTATTTGGCTGTTAGTTGTCAGACAATATTTGTCAAATTCAGTCAGTTCACAGGCAAGAAAGGGAGCGTGTTCTTGACTTTATTATGTTACCAGTCTACATTTATATTTCTGTATAATCAAAAGACTTGGAAAATGTGCATTCTGACATTGTCAAAAGTCACGTGATTTTGAGCAGCCAATTTGAAATAAACTGCATTAATTTGCAAAGCAGAAATTTCTATGAACCTTGTGGTTTATTTCGTCGTTTTGATGTCAAAAGACACGAGCGTGAGATTTTATTCATCATCCAACATCATTCTTCCAACTTTTTGGGTTTGTAGACAGTAATAAGCAGTGTCTTAAAGATGTTGGATACAATGGTTTGTGCGCACCTCAGTTCACGCCGTTGCACGCGAGTTTACCGTGACGAATTACCTTACAAAATAGTTACATACAACTGTATAGGCAATTAGCACAAAAACACGAGAACGCGAGATCGCGAGAATTGACCAATCTCGCAATCTCGCGTTCTCGCGTTCTCGTGTTTTTGAAAATAGTTACATACAACTGTATAGGCAATTAGCACAAAAACGCGAGAACGCGAGATCGCGAGATCGCGACACTTGACCAATGTCGCAATCTCGCGTTCTCGTGTTTTTGAAAATAGTTACATACAACTGTATAGGCTATAAGCACAAAAACACGAGAACGCGAGATCGCGACACTTGACCAATGTCGCAATCTCGCGTTCTCGCGTTCTCGCGTTTTTGTGCTAATTGCCTATACAGTTATATGTAACTATTTTCAAAAACACGAGAACGCCAGAACGCGAGATTGCGACATTGGACAAGTGTCGCGATCTCGCGTTCTCGTGTTTTTGTGCTGATTTCCTATACAGTCGCCTTTCCTTGTCGCAATTCGTTGTGTAGAGTTGCGTCCCTTGGATGTGCCAGAAACCTACAATGGAAGGTTTCCTCTCATTTTAAAGGGACACTGATCTACAGAAATGCCCCGAGACTGGTTGTTGCCTTAGTTATTGTCCCCCCTCCCCGCCCCCACCCAACCTCCCCCGTGAGTATCCGGATGATATAGCAGATATCAAGACTAGTTCGCGACCTGTGCTGCGCCATTCGTAAGCGCATGTATCGCTTTTATTGATAGTATTTCATTGTGGGTATATTGTTTAGCCAAAATGTATAAAGTTTCACGAAGGCAATTTTTGCAACGCCTAAATATTCAGTTATTTTACAAATTGACTGAAAATCGGTCAATTTCATCACCCTGTGACTGAAAATGATAGGATTAAAAGAAAACAAAATTCAAAGTACGTTTCTATAGTTTTGGCTTCTTATACTAGCGGGGCGGTCGGGTAGCCTAGTGGTTATTGCTGAAATAGTGCTAAAAGGGGGGTAAAAACAAACACACTCACTCACTCTAATACTAGGATAAATAGTCTATTTTTAAGCCCTTTTGAACCTCTTAAAAATTGTTAGTCAATCTGGACTTGGATTCAGTCAATTTTTTATATTACTGAAATATTTAGACATTTTATAAATTGCCTGAGTGAATCACTTTTTACACATTGAGTGTAATATACATGTATACACGCCTACAGGTACAAGAGAAACAAAACTGATTCTATCCAATGCAACAGCAAATGAATGAAAACAAAATGCAAATATCATAATTACGACCCACCGCAGTTTTATGTATACATTTGGGCAGCTTCCTTGTTCGAGGAATGTATCCGTGAATATTCACATACAGGAACAATATCCCATACGTCTGCAGCTGTACAAATAAACTTATTCGACGTCACATGGCTCTGTTACATTCAAATGTTAAAATATATACATAGAGCGTTTCTGGATATTATAACCCGTGTTCGTTTTGCAACTGATCACTAAGTTTCTTTCAGATGTTTTTACAAAGGTGGCAAGTCTCATCGGTCAGCTAAGATAGCACGTGTGACAATTATGTTCATGATGTCTATGGTGCTTTAAAAATATCCATGGAGTTAGAAAGCAATGAACAATCAATAAACGTATTATCGGCTAATCCTTTGAACGAAGTATGTTGTTTTTACATCGGCACTTCACGCCATGATATGAGTGTATTCTGTCTGCTTTAGTAAACCTACACATGTAAACACTTACAAATCCACTGTGCAAGATAACAGTGATTAATCAATGAACGTATTTTCTGTGGAACTTTTGATGGCGAGGAATGATCCGTGTACAAAAAAGTAAATGAACTGATCACTCCTCTTGCTTGGCTGCCACGTGAATATTACATAACATACATTTCACCTCAATTCAAACCTGGATTCAGATGAAATAATTGCCCCAGACACAAGACATGCCAAATGGGAACCGTTGTCAGGTAATCTGAGTAGTGCTACTACTAACTATACCTGTAATAGGTTCATTAACTGAGCTTCTAGTGAATGGCAACAAAGACACAGGTGTAGGGTTATGCCCCAAAACGTGGATGACAACAAGAGATAGCAATCGTATTATCCGCGCAATCCAAAATCCGAAAATGCTTTCACTGCTCGGATACTATAAAAATAAACTGACGGCCAAAAGAAACGTTACCAACGATATTTCTAGGATAAAATATGACCAAAACAAATTGAAGCAGCAATAACAATTGTATTGTAGAAATATATAATTTAGAACAGTAAAATGCGAATTTACTAATTCAACAACAAAGTCCTTGACCTCCAACAGGGACATTTCTTTACAAGGGGTCATTCGTCCAGTATTCGATCAACAACATTGGTTACAACTTTAATGTGACGACGGCCCAGACCGTTCAATACGGGATATGACCTCCATGAGCGGCAATGCATCTTCGAATGCGGCGTCGCACTGAGTAGACAAGCGTCCTCACATCGACTGCAGGTTTACGATTCCATTCCTCACGGAGGGCAACGATCAACGCTTGTCTCGTGAAGGGAGGATGTTGACGTTTCCGAAGACGACGCCCCAGCTGGTCCCAGAGATGTTCTGTGGGTGACAGATCTGGTGTTCGAGCTGGCCACGGCAGGACAGTCACGTTGTTGGCGTTGAGGAAGTCTCTAGTAATACGGGCTTTATGGGGTGTGGCGTTATCTTGTTGGAACACCGTCCGTTGTTGACGCTGGGTGAAAGGAAGAACCACTGGCCGTAAGATATTGTCAATGTAGCGTTGTGCTGTCAGATTGCCTTCGATGATGACAAGTTCCGTCTTCTCGTCTCCGCAAATGTCGCCCCAGACCATCACACTTCCGCCCCCTAAAGGTTCCACCTCCTGGACACAACAAGGAGCCGTACGTTCACCACGTCGTCGATACACTCGCGTCCGCTCATCAGGTTTGAAGAGTTGGAACCTGCTCTCGTCACTAAACAGCACTCGCCGCCATTCCCTTTGTTGCCATCGCTGAGTTGTCTGCACCACGTCAATCTGGCACGTCGATGTTGACGGGTCAAGGTCATGCCTTTGAAAGGGCGATAAGCCCGGAGACCATAATGTCGTAGTCGTCTGGTCACTGTTTGTCTGCTGGCCGGATGTCCTAAGCTGTTGGCATCTGATGACGTCACAGTAAGAAATCTGTTCCTCAGATGACGTACCCGTAAAAAGCGGTCATCCTGCGGGGTCGTGACCTATGGTCTGCCACTCCGTGGTCTGTCTGCGGTTCTGCCAGTCTGTCGGAGACGTGAGACCAGTCTGGTAATGGTCATCTTGGAGCAGTTCATGTTAATGGCAACCGCTCTCTGTGTCGCTCCCATCTGCAGCATACCTATGGCTCTCTCCTTCTGGACAGCGGTAAGTCTTGGCATGTTCGTTGGTGTTAATCATCGCAACCATTGATAGGGAACAGATCCCTACGTAATTTATACCCGGAAATTGCACGATAATTTGGGGAAGATTGTTTTAAAAAATTGCTGAAAAACACCAATATTTCCCCAAATCCGCAAAGCACGTGCAAAGAACGACAGAGAACATGAAGGCTGTATTCGTTAAATGTGTTCTTTACTGTTTTTGAACAGGTTGGCATCTTTGTTTCAAAGTGGCAAATCAGTTAATGTTGGTAACGTTTCTTTTGGCCCTCAGTTTATAACCATCTGGGGTATTCACAAATAACGACATCCGGTGAGCTTCCATCGTTCTTTTTGTCCGTTTGTTTAGGCTGAAGAAATTAATTAACATGCGCCCTTTGTCTGAGATTCAGAGATTACAGGTAACCAATCAATGTTCTTGAACACGGTAGTCCCGTCTCTTGTCACGCTCAGTTGCGTCAGTGAGCAAATCGGCAGATAGTGAGCCCAAGCTGGCAGTGTTAGACAGCCGAGAAGAAGATTAGTGCCCCTTTAAACCGACAAGCCGGGATATAACTAAAATAAACACACTGTTCAAAGCAGTGTTAAGCCAAACTCACTCACTTATTCAGAGTCATGCCGGTGCCCCAGGCTGGATATTGGGGGTACTTTTCCAGTATAAGCATGCCTGTCATTTGAATGTTAAGGCCGCAATAAAATTAATAGTTACAGTTTGATTGATTTTTTAAAAACATGGGAGACAGGAGGCATTTTAGTTTTAACGTTTTTATTTTGTTCTTATCGGCCTACTTTAGGCATATGTGTACAATTGCTGTCGGCGGATGCGATTCGCATGCATCATGTGTGCTCAGTAGGGCTACGTGTACGGAGTATTTTATCAGGTAAAGAAAGTAGGAACACTCATATTAACGATACTTCTATTTCTAGGAATTTGAGGGCATTAGAAAAATGTAAGGCAGGATGTTTTGTTGTCAGGCGGGAGCGGATGAAAATCTATTAATTAAAGTAGCGAATATGGTATCGTATAAAAAACAAAAAAAAACCAACATCGGACAATATCATTTTATCCGAATGCTACAAATTGGTCTGTGAGAATTTTATTTTAATGAATATTCTAGCCGTGTATAAAATTGCCTCATTGAGAAACTCACTGGCTTGTGATTATTTCTGTAACTGACAGTGTAGCCGCGAATAACTGCAATACTGCTGATGCGGCTTTAAGCAATATTACTCACTCACTCACTGACGGTAATAGTTTTGTTTCCAGCTTTCGGACACATTTATGTTTTCACCATCATTGGACATTCATAGACACAATTTCTTTTGTTAAATTATATTGAGCATGTTTATGGTTTTATTATAAAGTACATAGGAAACTGTAACAACGGGAGATGACTCAGACTTTGTGTATGTAAATTACATAGCATTTTCAAGCTCAAGTCATAAGTTTGCTAAATACTACTTGGAGAATGAAGGGCATGAAAGAAGCATGACCAAAGGACTACTAACGTGCGCATGCGCTTGACCTTATGATATTACGCATGCGCACGGACAGCGTCTAAAACGCGAGAACACGAGAACGCGAGATCGCGAGAAAATGAAATGTCGCATTCTCGCGTTCTCGCGATTTCGTTATTTTGTGGCCTAATTTGACAAGTCGAGATTGCGAGATTGCGAGATTTTGCATCATGTCCAAATGTCGCATTCTCGCGTTGTCGACTTTTGACAAAAAGTGCTATGTACCAAAAACACGAGAATGCGAGATCGCGAGAACGCGAGATTTTGGCCAAATCTCGCGTTCTCGCGATCTCGCATTCTCGTGTTTTGGGCATATTTACCTCGTTTCCAAAGGTCGAGATCGCGAGAATGCGAGATCGCGAGAATGTCCCTTACAGTATTCCATACTAAGCAGAGATAGAGATTATATATGAGTACTACATTCTTAAGTTTCTTAATATCAGTAATCTTTAATTGCCATCATGGCCAACTAACATTAGAATTCAGCTGATCCAACTTTTCTTCGGTTACCCGATGACGTTAATAAGCACGTCGTTAGTAATGGGTGTATGGTCCATGTTTTTTTCCGTGCCACTTATCGTGACGTGACAACAATATTGTTTACTCTGTTATTTATAATAGATCATTCGTTTACAATGACAAAGCTACGTCAATATAATAAGTTTAATAAAATGCCGCACCGAAATAATGGAGGGGATCTATCACAATATCATGTGAAAACCGCAATGTCTAGAGATATATCACAGTACTGTTTGTTTTAAATGTACATTCAGTGCACATTGTTGCTATGTCTTGCTATGTCCTGGGTCAGTATATGGTTTTGTTATCTATTCATGAATGTTTCTAAATATGATATATATCGTACCCAAAGGTTAGTATGACGACTAGTACACAACTACCTTGATAATCGTTGCTCGGGGCAGAAGTCATCTTGATAGTTGTAAGATTTTCCAACATTGTCAGCTGTGAACTTCTCTTATAAGTAGTCCCGTGAAAGCCTGACGACATAAATAATATATACAGATAATTATGAAATTTGCTCGCTCACAACAGAGGACATAAAATAACACACTTCTATAGTTTGAATATTCCGATAGACGAGCCACATCATGTTCATTTTAGTGTGTTTAGGAACGGGCGTTCGAACATTTTACATACAAAGTTACTAAATTTGTAGATAGCTGAAACATATATTAGGTTAATGACATACAGAGGATTATTAAAACAGATAAAAAGGCTTTTGCTGGCATTAGTGTCAACGGCATCACTGGTATCAATACAATGTTTCTCTAAATATATAATACATCGTTAGTTTAACTGATACAAATCTACCATGAGTATCGCTGTCTGTGGTGATCGTTGTTGCTGAATCAGTCAGTGGTGTAGTTGACTTATCAGTAGTCCCAGGAATGGCTGCATACATAAATAATAAATATTATTTGTGACATTTACTAGCTCAATATTGATACACATGAACAAGCGATTTTATGTTGACCGCCTCCATGGTCAACCGGTTAGAGCGTTTGTCCTGAGAGGGGAAGATCAGTGGCTTTGACAACAGGCCAGGTCATACGACAAGGCATAGTATTCCCCTTGGGGAAAAACACGGTTTTGTCTGTTCGGAGTTAGTCTACTGTTTCTGAATGGGGAATGCATTTAAACTGCGCCACGCTGTCTGAGGTATCACTTTGAAACAGGCATGTTTCCTGACCAATACAAGCAACCACACACACGCACACACACACACACACACACACACACACACACACACACACACACACACACACACACACACACACACACACACACACACACACACACACACACACACACACACACACACAAAAGCACGCACGCACGCACGCACGCACGCGCGCACACACACACTCACTCACACACACACACACACTCACACACACGTACATGGACGTCGCTATATAAGTGGAGTAATGATGGACGCGACGTAACAACTTCACCTCACTCTTGGATAGTGCTAATACCGTATGTATCTGTGGGTGACCGATTTAAAAGTTCTTAATTTGTAGATGGCGTGTTCATAGTTCTTAAACAGGTACGTATGATTCCCAGGTATATATTTCATGAATCAGTTACATCTGCATCCGTTCTTGCACAATGTGTCATAGCATGATGTATGGGATCAGAAAGGACACGTTGATGTAAATAAAGGAGTATGAGCGCATAACAAAAAGATCATACCCAACGTAAGGTTGTTACTGACTCTATTGCGTTGATCCTCACACCGCCACACTGCCCCAGCTTGGATGTATTTAGTTGTGGTTAGTGTCATGTTGTGCTGGTGGTCACCACAGCTTACACTGCCATCATTTGATGTGAATAGGTCGTAACGATATGCAGTATCATTATTGGGTGGGTTTCTGTTACAACCATGATGATGACCTACAAACACTGACGTGAGAACTCGCACCTCATCCAAATACCAATATCTGAATGACGTGCTGATAGTGGTGTTGATGGAACTGCAGACTAAGGTGATATTACCACCTGACTGGAACTGAGTGAGTTCTAGAGGGAGACCACCTGTAACATTCCAAGATACAACCAGCATGAGAAGCAATCAGAACACAAACATGCAATGGCATTCTTTGTCGTTCTTCAAGTACTTACAATACCCAAATAACAGTAACATGCAAACACGAAACAGATAGGATATAAAGTGGTACAATCACTATTACATTACACCTACGACATCCCGATGGTTCCATCCTTCGGGTGATTAGAAATTCAAACCTACTGTTATTTGTGTACGTAAACCATCCTATACACAGCAGAGTAATCAGGCGAATCCTTGTGTCCATGTTTCTCCTAAATCAAACTTCCTCTCGTCAATATTCGGTTGAAATAAGTTACTACACATGAAATACACACAGAGCAACGTGCAGCATTCCGCAATCTGTGAAATACATCCTTATGAAGGAGGAAATATTCCTACAATCAGCATTCGCTCACCTGCAGCTGTTTTTCCGGGTTTAGGTACTGATAAATACATACCTTTAGATATTTTCACAATGTACAACTTGCATTACTGCCAGTTTGTGGTTGCGTGCAGTTGTCGGTACATATACCAAAGGGATAATGTTTCATTGTCTATCCTGGCGTATTTGGATCATGTAATCACTTTGTTGGTGGGGGGTTTCCATTCTTCGTGTGATGTTAATGAGAACATACTAGACACTGCCGATTCATGAATACAAATCGCTCAGATCCGTATGGGCGAGCTCTCATTCACAAATAGATGGTCACGTGTATGTTCAATAAGTTTACACACATCCCTGCTTTTCCAATGTTTATAATTTAATCATAGTGTTTGGCCCAGTTGTGGAAAGAAATATTGCGGAAAATAATTGAAAATTATACCCGATCCTTTTATAGTCTTTATTTATGCTGTGAAAAAGTCTGCGTATGGCTGGACGCCGGATGTTGTGCGACGTGACGCCACACGTGTACGACTGGTCCGTGACAGGTCATGAGTGTTTCCCTGCTAGATAACCTCTTCAAAGAGATAATGTTCGTTTTAAGCTGTTCCTCTTTGCAGCATAACCGGCCATGTAGATGTTAATTTTCAGTATGCTGAGGCTTTGCATTAGCGTTGTTTATGTTCAAAGAAAAGAGTTTTTTTCATTTGGGATGTTCAGACTGAAATAACCACGTTGTGATAATCATATTCCATGCTAGCATGCAAGCATCCAAATTGTCTGCCACGGATTAAACATGCACGTCCAAACTGTGAATCACGACCTTAAAGTCAAGGATGTCTCCATGCCTATGCACTGTAAGATGTATTATTAAATTTAAAAAATTTCAATACTTTTCTTTTTATTAAAATTTATTAACCACAGTTATATATGCATATTTCCTTATCTAGAATAGTCATACAATATCATTGTCCCCGGCGTAATTGCGCTGAGTCATTTCGCACCAATTTTCCAGGTCCGTGTACCTTGTGTTGTAATCAAAAATGCATCTTACCAAAAAACTGTCCAATTGTCGATACTCGCTTACACATTCTGGTGGGTAGCTATAGGAGTTATATAAACACAATATGAATATAACTTTAATATATGTTTTTTTCCAGGTCGAAGTATATAACATGTTGTGGTGAAAGTAGTAATCTAGTTGTATTATACTGCAATGATTGATGGACCATACATGAGACACGAATTAATTGAAAACAAAGCCAGTAATCTGTCAGCCTATCAAGCCTTTATTTCTACAGGAAGAGGACAATAAACATTGAATAGATACTCAAATAAAGCCGAACCAGTACGTCACGCAAGCATTTTGCAGAAAAGTGATCAATGTAATAGATAATGTGATTTCAGGACATTCAATCATTGACTCTTCAGTCATTCACGCTTTCCTGTTAGAGATTCAGTGAACATGATATTTACACAACATATTACGGCGATACCGTTTGTGTAACTAACGATTCCAAAGTGACAAGTTACAGATACATTTGAAGTGACACAAACACGAAATATACAATACAGATGCTAGTAATCCCAGCTAAAATAATCACATATGTATGCTATATAGAGGTCCTAACAACTGTTCAGATGTTCAGGTGGAAATAGGTAATGAGACAATTTAAAACGTCAACACCATGGAACTAGTGTCTAATATCTGCCGAAAGGCAAAATAATTATGACAACCGCATGAATGCATCACTGAAAATCAGTTGTGACACCAGGTGTTACGAAAAAGGATAAGCATGTCTTGCCTGTTCCAGCCGTACCTCCTATGCACAATTTTCATAAAAAAATATGTGTTTGTGTTTTGCAACACCAAGCAATAATTCTGCTATATGACGATACATCAGTTTTGACAAAATGTTTTTTCGCAAAGATTTGCCTTTACACCTATTATACCAATGGCGTAATGTCATTATGATAATAGCTTAACATAGTGGCCGAAAATGCCACCAACACTGGGGGATGTATATATATTTGCTGGTCTGACAACTTAAAACAGTGGTTTTCACACTACTATGTTCTCAGTGGTGGATTTTCGTAGTCAGCATTCTCGGGCACAGTGTTGTAGTAAACATCGTTTGCATTTATGCTGGAGTGTCTGGAGGCTTCCTTCTTGATCTCGGAGTAACAGGGATCTGTATTGCCACTGTGAGCCAAAGTGTCGTAATGACGTGCGTCAACCTCAGCCAGTGATACATCTGTACAAAACACAGATACAAATAAGGAGTGTTGTAGACACGAGTCGTGTTTTACGTTACACACTGACAGACGTTGCTTCACAACAGTTTATTTGTGATACAAAGCTCCTCAGCATTAATATTGTTTATTATTTGTATGGAGATGATCTGTTATAACCAGCTGTCATCCAATGTATGGATGCCCTACTTGAGAAGCTTTAGATTGTTCCCACTGACAAGGCCTCAAATAATTAACATAACCATTTTGTGTAAGCATCACTACATTAATTGTTTGATTAAAGAATTTGGTATAAATGACATATCAAATAATGCCACATATTAGGTCAGTATGTTAATTGAGGATGAAATCTGCCGAATCAATGAATCAGTAACATCAACTTTTGACTTGACTGTAAAACCTGAGGACTTATCCATTCCTCTTTTGTACTGGATTCCAAAACCGTAAAAAGAGAGATATATTGCTGGGTTCAGCAAATGTACCACAAAAGCCCTGTATCTACGATTAACCATAATCATTCATACACTCAAGAAAGAAATTTCTTATTTCCACAGAAAATATTTGAGACAAATGGAATTATTACCATGTGGATTCTCAAAAAAATAAATGATTTGCTTGACTTTTTTACAAACTCTGAAAAGAACCAACTTCAATTCTGTCAAAACATTTGATTCTTCAACTTTGAACACCACAATACCATTTGGGAAACGTGAAGGAAAACTTCATGCCTTGTTCCATTTGGGCTTGTTTATAAAGATAGTGACCATATATAGCGTTATGTATCTATCATTAGAGGTTCTGGACAGTTTGCCAAATATGGAAGCAAATACCCAAAATGGGGATGACTTCAACTTTGCAGTGCTAAACGTTCACTTTGTGTGGAGCAGTATTCCATCAGCAAGAGCCCTTGGTGTCTTCATTTCACAACTTTTGAGGTATATTACTCTTTCTACCAAGATCTGAAAGAGGGTCACACTACCCTTGCTCCGAAGCTGATTGATCAGGGTCACAGCACTTTAGGCACTAATAATGCTTTCAAAAAGATTTATGGTAGACATGTAGGTGAGATGTTGAATCACTCAATGTTGACAATATTATGACACATGTATTAAAATCCATTCTTTAAATCAGTCACGGCAAAAGGTACAAGTACGACCTACAAATCACATGATATTTAATCAGTTTCTGATTACAAATAATTGTAAAGTATTGCTATCCTCCTTACAAGTGGTGTAGATTACCTTGCTTGACTTTTACATTTAGTCTCCTCACAACAACTACACAAATAACGATTACGATAAGGATCATCATGCAACATCCTGCCCCGCAGTGATGTACATGGTGTCATCTTGAACATAAAACGTATACTGGGCCACTGGGCGTCTGGTCCATAAACTTTGAAAACTTTAATGTGAAAAGCGGAGTATCTAGAAATAAAACATGAATGCTTTATAACGCTGTCATGGATGTTCTGGTTTGATCTTCAAATCACTTAACATCAAATTAGAATCTGATACCAAATAATTCTAATTTGTTCTGACTGTCATCAAAGAGGGGTAGTTTACCTTCTGTGACGTTTCCCTTTCTTCTCGTCCTTACAACACATACACAGATAACGATTATAATGAGGATGAAGATTCCTCGTCCTGTCCCAGCAGCGATATGCATGGCATCATCTTGAAGAAAAAACAAATACTTGGCTAGTAGGTATACTGTCCTTGAACTTGGCAGATGGAAAAGTTTATATAAGTACATTTATGAGTTCGTATATATATATATAAGCAATGAGTATAAGTACTGAATAATCTAAGACAACTTAACTTTTACATGAAGAGAGTCCATGCTGTATACACGCAGATAGAATTGTTGACTTCGGTCTATGAGGAGCAATGATATATACGAAGTTACTAGTATTTACTTGATAATGTTTCACCATATAATTTAGTTTGATTGGGAAGGTTTTGAAAGGGAAATGGGATATTGATAAAGCACAGTAAAGTTCTTCTCTCAGGCACAATATAGTAAAATTAGAATAAGTGGAGTAAGATTAAATACTGTTTGAATTGGCCAGTGCTTTCAACCTGTACCACGTATGAGTCTCATCAGGCCATAACTGAATAACGAACATGAAGTTATGTAACGTGTAACCTGATAGATACGAGTAACCTTTTATGCAGAACTGTACAAAACTAGGTTTTAGGCATACTAAGCAGAGATGGAGATTATATATGAGTGCTACATTCTTAAGTTTCTTAATATCAGTAACCTATAATTGCCATCATGGCCGACTCACATTAGAATTCAGCTGATCCAACTTTTCTTCGGTTACCCGATGACGTTAATAAGCACGTTGTGAGTAATGGGTGTATGGTCCATGTTTTTTTTTCCGTGCCACTTATCGTGGCGTGACGACAATATCGCTTACTGTGTTATTTATAATAGATCATTCGTTTACAATGACAAAGCTAAGTCAATATAAGAAGTTTAATAAAATGCCGCACCGAAATAATGGGGTTGATCTATCACAATATCATGTGAAAACCGCAATGTCTAGAGATATGTCTCAGTACTGTTTGTTTTAAATGTACATTCAGTGCACATTGTTGCTATGTCTTGCTATGTCCTGGGTCAGTATATGGTTTTGTTATATATTCATGAATGTTTCTAAATATGATATATATCGTACCCAAAGGTTAGTATGACGACTAGTACACAACTACCTTGATTATCGTTGCTCGGGGCAGAAGTTATGTTGATAGTTGTAAGATTTGCCAACGTTGTCAGCTGTGAACTTGTCTTATAAGTAGTCCCGTGAAAGCCTGACGACATAAATAATATATACAGATAATTATGAAATTTGCTCGCTCACCACAGAAGACATAAAATAACACACTTCTATAGTTTGAATATTCCGATAGACGAGCCAGATCATGTTCATTTTAGTGTGTTTAGGAACGGGCGTTCGAACATTTTACATACAAAGTTACTAAATTTGTGGATAGCTGAAACATATATTAGGTTAATGACATACAGAAGATTATTAAAACAGATAAAATGGCTTTCGCTGGCATTAGTGAGAATGACATCACTGGTATCAATACAATGTTTCTCTAAATATATAATACATCGTCAGTTTACCTGATACAAATCTACCATGAGTATCGCTGTCTGTGGTGATCGTTGTTGCTGAATCAGTCAGTGGTGTAGTTGACTTATCAGTAGTCCCAGGAATGACTGGATGCATAAATAATAATATTATTTGTGACATTTACTAGCTCAATATCGATACACATGAACAAGCGATTTTATATTGACCGCCTCCATGGTCAACCGGTTAGAGCGTTTGTCCTGAGAGGGGAAGATCGGTGGCTTTGACACCAGGCCAGGTCATACGACAAGGCATAGTATTCTCCTTGGGGAAATACACAGTTTTGTCTGATCGGAGTTAGTCTACTGTTTCTGAATGGGGAATGCATTTAAACTGCGCCACGCTGTCTGAGGTATCACTTTGAAACAGGCATGTGTCCTGACCAATACAAGCAACCACACACACGCACACACACACACACACACACACACACACACACACACACACACACACACACACACACACACACACACACACACACACACACACACACACACACACACACACACACACACACACACACACACACACAAGCACGCACGCACGCACACACACTCACTCACTCACACACACACACACTCACACACACTCACACACACGTACATGGACGTCGCTATATAAGTGGAGTAATGATGGACGCGACGTAACAACTTCACCTCACTCTCCGATAGTGCTAATACCGTATGTATCTGTGGGTGACCGATTTAAAAAGTTCTTAATTTGTAGATGGCGTGTTCATAGCTCTTAAACAGGTACGTATGGTTCCCAGGTATATATTTCATGAATCAGTTACATCTGCATCCGTTCTTGCACAATGTGTCATAGCATGATGTATGGGATCAGAAAGGACCCGTTGATAAAAACAAAGGAGTATGAGCGCATAACAAAAAGATCATACCCAACGTAAGGTTGTTACTGACTCTATTGCGTTGATCCTTACACCGCCACACAGCCCCAGCTTGGATGTATTTAGTTGTAGTTAGTGTCATGTTGTGCTGGTGGTCACCACAGCTTACACTGCCATCATTTGATGTGAATAGGTCGTAACGATATGCAGTATCATTGGCTGTATTATGGGGTGGGTTTCTGTTACAACCATGATGATGACCTGCAAACACTGACGTGAGAACTCGCTCCTCATCTAAATACCAATGTGTGAAGGACATGTTGATAGCGGTGTTGGTGTCACTGCAGACTAAGGTGATATTACCTCCTGACTGGAACTGAGTGAGTTCTAGAGGGAGACCACCTGCAACATTCCAAGATACAACCAGCATGAGAAGCATCCAGAACACAGACATGCAGTAACATTCTTCGTCGTTCTTCATGTACTTACATGAAACAGATAGGATATAAAGTGGTACAATCACTATTAAATTACACCTACGACATCCCGATGGTTCCATCTTTCGGGTGATTAGAAATTCAAACCTACTGTTATTTGTGTACGCAATCCATCCTATACACAGTAGTGTAATCAGGTGAATCCTGGTGTCCATGTTTTTCCTAAATCAAACATGCTCTCGTCAACATTCTTTAAGGTTTGGTTGAAATAATCCGACGGAAGTTACTACACATGACATACACACAGAGCAACGTGCAGCATTCTCCGCGAGCAAACACGAGCGCTCCACCAAATATGAAATACATCCTTATAAAGGAGGAACTATTCCTACAATCAGCATTCAGCTGTTTTTCCTGGTTTAGGTATGCACATACCTGTTATATTTGTATAAGTGGGTAACAAGGACAAATTCGACATGTACGTTCTGAAGGGTTGGTGTTCCCAAAAACTGACTCGCAAATGTGCATTTGTTCTTGTTCAAATAAAGCTAAATATCATAAACAATATCCGAGATGAAATAAGTTCTCATCGCCGGGTTGAAATGATGTTCAGGTTTCGTGATCGGATCTTGACACAACGAGGAGTGACAAACTAGCCTTCCTCATGGTAACTTGTCGACATTTATGCTAAGTAGGCAATAATAAGCTGGCTGCATAGCCAGTTGTCACGTCAGGGCGTGAACTTCTATTTTTCAGGAAAAAGACTGCCTCTGTGGGGACGTGGATAGAGCGTCTGCCCCGAGAGCTCGAGGTCAGTGGCTCGAACCCTGTCCGCATCATACCAAAAGAATACAACATTGTACTTCTTGTGATCCTGCTCGGCGCTTGGTAATAAGGGGGCTGAACAAGGATTTGTGAGCTGAAGTTATTATGTACCTAAGTGGGGTATGCATGTAAAACTGTGGCATGGTATCTCTGATGGGATTGTACTGTTTTATGCTGACTAGTACAAACAGCCACACACAACAGCTAACACTGTGATATATTCTTGAACGCAATGTTAAACTCCTTTTCATCATACACTGACATCCGTTGAAGTGAAAAGGTCGTAACTATATGCTTAACTATCGCCTGTGATGTTGGGTGTGTTTTTTGCACAGACATTCCCTGCAAACACTAACTTGAGAACTCGTACGTCATCCATATACCTTTGTGTAAACTCCATGTAGATAGTGGTGTCAGTAGTGCTGAAGACTAAGGTGACATCATCGCCTGACTGGAACTGAGTGAGTTCTAGAGGGAGACCACCTGCAATATTCCAAGGTACAACCAGCACATGCATGAAGGTACTAAGTATTGAGTTGTAGCCAGTGTCATGTTGTGCTGGAGGTAGCCACACCTTACGCTGTCATCCTTTTATGTGTACAGGTCGTCGCATTATCAGCTGTAATGTTGGGTAAGTGTTTGGTACAGACATTACCTGCCCACACTGACGTGAAAACTAGCTCCTCATCTTTATCAATATGTAAATTAAATGTCGATAGTGTTATTGGTCGTGATTTTCACTCTTCAACACCTGTCATGTTGGAATTCCCACGACGTGCACAAACAAAAGTGGTAAGGGAGTACTTTTCAATGCTTCGATCGCGATACAATTACACGACATACACCATATCTATACGTATATAGATAATTCAAAACTTTGTATAATGTTGGTTGGTTGGTTGGTTTGTTGTTTAACGCCGCACTCAGCAATATTCCAGCTATATGTAAATAATCGAGTCTGGACCAGACAATCCAGTGATTAATATCATGAGCACCGATCCATGCAATTTGTATCGATGACATGCATGAACCAAGTCAGCGAGCCTGACCACCCGATCCTGTTAGTCTTGACATAGGGAAACCTACGTGTGTCCGTAATCCGTCCTATCAACAACAGAGTAGTCAGGTATACGAGAAAGCCCATGCTGCCAACACATCGAATACACTCTCGTGAATGTACCTTGAAGGTTGCTAAAATACTGTAAAACTAGTCACTACACACCATGCCCTACACTGAGCCGCATACAGTGTGGCTGTTCAGTCAACAACCACTCTCAGGGAACTGTTATTTCCTTGTTTAGATAGAGTCGGAATCAAGATTTTTTTATGAATATGAAAAGGTTTTCGCTGCTTTTATTTAGATAATGATGAATAGATACCCGTTAGTGTGGATAAAATGGAACGAGTCGCTATTGAATTCAGCTGACCTGAGACAGTACATTTGCGAGGCAGGCTACAATAGGTTCGTTATCACAACCTATTAAAACTGCCCTAGCCAAATATAACTTAGCAGATTCTTACAATCGGCTTTTCGATTCATACCTCAATGAACCGAAAAAATTCACAGTCAATGCTTGTAATTAAATTCAATAACAAAAACATGTTTTATCTACAATAGTTTAACCAAAAACAGTTGTATATATCAAAGCGGACAAAAATGACGAGATTGATAAACATTCCGGGTGTAGGAATACATACTGTGGCGTGACATGAATCTGCTGACTGTTTAATTACGCACATAATTTGACACGCCTACAAAGTCAGTAGCCAATCAACTGAGAGTATGATTAAAACAAAAGTCTTAGGACCTGTCAATCAAGGCAAGGAGCGAGAAGAAGTGCAACACTCAGACTGTAACGAACTGGAACAAATATGCTCGGGAGATGGCGGCTGTTTCAAATGACATGGTCAGTTACCGCCAGATTCAAACATTATTTCTCTGAGAAGGGAAGATACTTTTTGAAAAATGCTGATTAATAAGAAATGAAACCAGAAGACATGAAAGTTGTGGAACCGAGGCGAACCGGAAAAAAACAGGCGAGCGAGCCTGCACGTTTGCTTTTTCATTCCTTCTCAACCTTCGGTTCTAAAGAGTTGTTTGGACAATGAATATGCTTAAGTTTTTACAAACCTTTAGGAAGAATAATATAAATATCGATAGATATTTATTGGTACGATCGTTATAATGAATGAATGCTCCTCTGAGAGGTAGCGGGGACGAAGGTAGGGGTGGCGGTCTACACTGTAGTCAGCGCTGTATTAACAAAGGTACAACAACACGAGAATGAGTAACACTTCTTACAACTGGTATCAAACGTGTGTGTGAGATCGAATTCCAGGTCCGTGATAGGCTTCTTCACGGTGATGACCTAAAGGTCAGATTTTGAAGGACCACTTGATTGCAATTCATTCAAATTTTCTCGTTTTTCTGTCGAATTCAGCTATGGTTAAGAAATTTTCTTTTAAGGATTTTTAATAATTTTATTTGTTTTGTCACATCAGGTTTGCATTTTCAGCATCGCTTTGATAATGCACAGATATTTGCTGAAACGATATTTGGAGTGTAACACTAAGTGTGAGTGGTCAGCAGTAAGCCGGATGACATCACTCATGGTCGTTATGTTATGTATTATGTATTAATTCGTCACTGCGATCTGAAGAATACCACATATCCATCGATCCATGCTGACATGGTCTCATTTTAGGGTCACGCCGAAGACCCGGGTTCGATTCCCGACATGGGTACAATGTGTGAAGCCCATTTCTGGTGCCCCCTGCCGTGATTTTGCTGGAATATTGCTAAAAGCGGCGTAAAACCATACTCACTCACTCACTCACTCATTTTAGGGTAATGTAAGACACAGATTATTGCACTCGTGCCCGTCAAATAAGATTTATCTTTCTCTCGTCAGTAACGTTTCGAAATAATTGTTGTAATACATAAATGGTATTTGCTAGACACTCTCTAGTAACCTCTATATCTTACCGGAACCGTCACTTGTCTTTCATAGTCTGGCAATGTTTAATTTAAGAAGTAATTTGTATAAAAGGATGCAGTGCGCGCAGGACAAAGTCGATGTGGACGGGCGTCGTGAAAGCGTCCAAAAAACGTTGTTTTTCCGTCCAATGACCATATACGGAAAAAGCGACATTTTTGTGCTTGCAATGCATGTTAACTATTTACTTTCGGAAGGGACCTCTTCAGCAAAGGTTTTTGCTTGGAGCTTCTATATTTCTGTAGCCCTTCATCTGTGTTCAATGGAAGAAACAATGTACCACCCCTGCGTGAGATGTGATAATGCTCACATGTGAGGCTTTATGACGCTATCAGTTCCTTGAGTCTACCCTCTCTCATAAGCCTTTTACAACTAAAAACAGTTCAAATGAAGAAGCTCTTTTTTTATCAAAACTCGTTTCCTTTTATACTAGCCTAACTTTGGTTGCTGGCGACCTAGAGACCATTTTTATCTCCTGTTGTCAAGAGAATCCTCTTTTAAATGTTTTATATGTAACATTTTCCAGTCACAATATGGCTGAGTTGGTGAGTTGGGTTTAATGCTGCTTTTAACAGTATTCCAGTTACATCACGGCGTGTCAGCTTAATGTGGGGGGAAAGCCCGAAGTGGTGCAGGTCACAGACTTTATCACTTCGGTGAAACCCACGAGTGCGGGTATGGTGCTGACAAATCTAGAAACATAATCGGGGCGAACTGGGATTCGAACCAACAATCATATGTTTCTGGCGTGCCAAAGGGACGCAACTCTGCACAGCGAATCGCAGCGCCTTCGACGACTGGGCAACCCGTGCCCCCAGAGAGAATAATAGTGTCATGT